CGTTTATATGGTCGTGCGCTTCATTGGCAGCAAATAATGTAAATAACATAGCAATTTGGCATTTCCAAAAAGCAAAAAATACTGTAAATTGGCTGTTATGTAAATATTGACGTATATGCATTTTTAATCAACGTATCTTATAAAGGATGATGTAATCTAGTTTTAAAGGAATATGACCCTCCTGTCATGACAGATTTACTCATTGTGCTATTTTTTACAGCCAAAATGTTGTGTTACAAAAAAATATATTCAATAATGTTACCAACCCAGTGGGCCATGGTCCGTAATATAGGCCACTGCAAATAATTCGTCAAGATAGGTACGGTACCATTTTAGGCAAGGTTTCTGTGTTTGGATGTTATTAGACACGGTAAGAGCACAATAAACTTCTTCTGCAGATGAATTATCTGTTGGAGAAGTATGATCCGAATTATAAAATGTCACAATGCGAGTTTGAGCATTTTGTAACTATATGGGTAAGTAACAGAAATTTTTTTAGGCTGCTGCTCAGTGCACTTTAAGAATATATTTTTAGTGATAAATTAAATGGTTTTTGTTGCTGAGTAGCTCTAGTAAACATGTACAATCCTTTTCGTTAGTCTTATAACATTCAAAGGCTCTCTAAGAGTGCAAGTTCTTATTAGCGAATTTCCCTATAGGGAAGTAGCTATTACCGTAGGTCTCATGGTAAGACCTAGGCCCGGGACCGATTTACTTTTTCATTTTGATGTCCCCAGAGGCCAAAAACACAATTCGTTCAAATTTATATATATATATATATATATATATATATATATATATATATATATATATATATGTGTGTGTGTGTGTGTGTCCATCCGCAGGATAACTTGAGTAATTTCTGTCCGATTTTGATAAAATTTGGTTTGAAGGTGTAAGGCGGGATAAACTTGAATGAGTTCGCGAACCAGCATGATCGGACTATGGGAACGGGGGTTTATGGGGGGTTTTATGGGGTAAAAATAGGTTTTCCCCATTTTTGACCCAAAAAACACAAAATTTCACAATTTATTTCCAAACCATTTTGTAGAGCTTAAAAAGTAAATAATTTAGTATATTGAAACGTTACTATGCGCCTAATTGTTACGGATAAAATTCAAAAAAATTGTAATTTTTAAATTCCCATGTTATTCTAATGGAGAATAAGTCAAATGTTGTAGTTTGCTTGTTTATGAACATATGTTTATAAAATTTGGAAAATACGTTAATTTAATTTCTTACTAAACTACAGTACCTTTTAAAATTTTACATTAAAAAAAACTTTTGTACCCTCCCTGTTGCAGCAAACCTAAGTACTCGTTAAACTAATTCTGTTTAAATAGGGAACAAATGTGATATTTTTAAGGAGACATTTTAGTGTAAATCCAATCAGGCAAATGGAAATTCGCTAAGTCTGCAGGTTTGCTGCGGCGGGGGTATTTGTATACATATCTGTATTATGTTTTCACTAAGATGAATGAATACATCGAAGTAACCTCTCTGAAAAGTCTGCAGTATAGTGCAGTTTTCCAGCTTAATGACTTTCTAAATCATGCACAGATTTCTACACAAATATTTTAAAATGTTTGTAACATGTATGACAATAATCTCATGAACCGATGACAATCTGTCTAGAATAATATGATAAAATATAGGCAAAAGTGGTGAAAAAGGCAGACACCAACCCGTAAAATAGATAGATGATAGTTGAATAAGAAATAATTTAAAAGGATTTTCCACTGATATCGTAATGGAACGTTATAATGCAAAACATGACATGATACAGACGAAAATCAATTTTAAAATCAATCAGAAAATAACATTGTAAATACTTCTTTTGGACACTTCAGTAACTCCCAATAAATGTGTGTTGTTTAGATTACAATTTAAAAATGAACAGCTGTTTCATTACATCATTTCACATGGCCAAAATGTAAGCAAATCTGTGGAGGGATCTTAAAGGCTTCTGGGGCAGAGCCCTAAAAGAATTTACTTCGTTTTTCTTTTGATAAATGATCTACAGACCAAGACCTTTCTTTGGACACCTCTACCAAGTTTCTACGCCCAGCCGTTCTTTCAAATTAGTGGAGACAAAGTTTCCAATTAAATATTTAGAATCCCCCATGTTAATCTTATGGGAGAAAACCCAACTTTGATAGAAAATCCTGCCCAAACTAATAAAGATTTCAAAAAACCAAAAACACTTTGCAAAACTACAGATCAGGGCCATTTTTTTTTTACATTTTAATTATCAAAATCGGACCAAAAATGAGGGAGGAGTTCTGTTTATAAAAATCGGCTTAGCGTATCATATATATAGATATCACGGAATTTGAAATTACGAAGTGACGCAGGTTGCTAGTAATAGTAATATTTAAAGTCACTAATCTTGAATCTTTTACATTCAATCACGGTTGAGATGAAACAGCTGATCAAACAGAGAAATACATTTATAAATTAAACAAATGATCTAGCCTACTTTGTGTGAATATGTTTTACACAAACATGCTTGTTTTAACCAATAACTTGATTCTTATTTACTTGTAGGTGTATTTTGAGTTTTCAGCTATGAAAGGACCAAGCCAAATAACTTTTATGTAATCCTTTTTATTAACAACTAATATTATTAATGAATTAGTACAAGAACATGACAAGTTAGGTAATTAATTATTGCCAGTATGCCAAGGGGAAGTGGGGTGGGCCTTGAAAATAGACGAATGCGGAGACGCCTATCTATAAAATCCAACAAATATTTGAAATTTTAAGGTCAGTGGATTGCCAAGACCCAAATCAACTAATAAAAGGGAGCAGTGGTTTTATTGGTGAGTAATATCTATACATCGAATAGGGCGTCATTAATGGTATAAGGCTTTAAGTGATCATAATGGTTAATAACTTAATAACATGTGAAGTCCTAACTGGAACAAGTGAGTCCCCACATATTTTGATTCTGAGGATAAAAGTGTGCCCATCTGAAACAAACTTACCTACCTTTTAAAATGGAAAGATTAAAATTTTTGTTATCCTTGGCATTTGAGGCACAAGGAAAATCACTTAAAAGAACAGCACTGTTTTTACCCAGACCAGTTTTTAGTCATGAGCAATTACGACTAACATTAAGGTAACATTACGGCTAAGAACATGTGTTTATTTTTAAAAGTGTTTTCTTCAAGCTCAAAATATGCTACATTTGGTTTTATAAGATAAAATGTTTTGTTAAATGTGTTTAAAAAAATATTTTGAAAATAACTACCGTATAACACCTTTAACACTTATTAATTTACTAAATATAATACACATACAGCTAGAAAATGGCTGGACTGATTCCCTTCCAAGGCTTTATTATATGTTTTCTAAGGTTTATTATTACTGTATTTTATTTTCGACGTAGAGTCAATATATAACACAATGCATTTGTTTTCTAAATTCATGTTATTTGCGGGGCATTGAGCCACACAGGAGCACTAGTATTAGATTTAGTTAAATCAACTGTCTGAGTTTTCATTTGTCCAAAGTTATTAAACTATTTAACGTAATAAAATATTAAAATATCAGTTGTCCGAGGTTGGTTTGAATAATACCATTTTTTGGCTACATCAACTGTCCCAGGGGTCCTTTGTCCAAGGTTATATAACTATTTACAAAAAAGGTTAAAATAATTTTTCCAAGGTATATCGGTGCCAAAAGAACTCTGCTACCGAGCTGCTAGTACAGTCTGCGAGAGAAGCAATCAGACCTACTCCACTTCATTTTATTTAAATAATTTTAATCTATCCTAACCTAAGGCACAGTTGGCAGCAGTGTCACCTTTGGCACCAATTATTTTACATTATTTTAAATTATTTTAACCTTTTTTAAAATTGCCATAACCTTGGACAAATTAAAACTTGGACAGTTGATGTAACAATATATTATTATTATTTAAACCAACCTCGGACAAATAAAACCTGGAAAAATAGTGATACTTTAAAATATTTTATATATTTTTTTATATTTTAAATTATTTAATAATCTCAGACAAATGAAAACCTACAGTTAGGTTAGCTTAGATTAAAATAAAAAAAATAAAGCGGGGTCGGTCTGATTGATTCTTATCGAGCCATCATTGACGTTGTTGATACCTCGGACAGTTGACAACATTGAAAAGATGTTAAAATTTTTTTTATAATTTAAAACATCGGACAGGTGATTTAACCAAATATTATTATTGTTTAAACTGATATTTTAATATTTATTAACCTGGGAAGATAAAATCTCGGTTATTATTTTCTTCACAGGATTCTGTTCCTGAAAAAATATGGGATACTTCAGTAGGCTCTCAACAAAGCTTCGGAATAAATATTATACAGGGTGTATGTAACAAACTCTCTGGAACGCTTGTATATTGTTTCTTAGGTCGAAACAAAAACATCATATTATGAACATGGGTCGAAAATGCCCGTCTAAATGCTGTGTATAATCATGTATGGGATCGTCACAAATTTATCAACAACTTTTGAATTCCTTAAATGGTTGACTTCAAACTTAAAACATAAGTAATTAACAGATGGATCAGCCTTTGTACAAAACAGCAGATTTCTAAGTTTTAGCAATAAAAAATTGTGACAATTAAAAACTTTCTATCCTGAATATCTTGAAAACGAGTGATTCCACTAAAGACTATTAAGAGTAATAGTTTTTAGGATATTGTAAGAGTAATCTAACGATACTTATTGCAAAGATCGGATGATATGTAAGTGAATTTGGACAGATGGGTTATTTTGTAAATGGACGTTCAAAAAATCTGTCCCGGTCTACCATGAGGTAAGCGGTATACGGGAAGCTACTTTCCTACAGGGAAATTCCGAAAAAAAACAAGCTACCCTATATACATTATCCTACACAATATATTTTGGTTACACAAAGTTATGAAAGTATTGAAGTATCTTTTGTTCTACATAAGTGCAAGGTCTCTATATTTTACATTTGCCACAACACTTGAATAATAATTACCGATTGGTATTTATTACCAGCTGTGTGACGTGTACCATTGTATAACTCTGCCTGAAGCTGGTTCCTCTAAGTGAGTCGTCCTTTAGTCACTAAACATTCCCACACCATGCTACCAACTGCCCTCGTCGTAGTTTTGGCTGCTGTCATCGTACAGGTTAATTGATTGGTTGATTTTACATTTAAGTAAATCCCAAAAGTAGTTTTTTGTAAAAATTTCATTAGGTTTAAAAAGTTTCAACTTTATGAAACCTTAGATGCAATTTTGATAAAATAGTAGACTCAAGATGTATCTTGAAGACCAGGTTAGGTTGGTCTTTAAGTAGTTTGTATGGTAGTAATTAAAGTAATTAATTGTGATGTATCCATTTTACATTAGCTTTTTATTATAGAACAATTTTAAACTTAGTAAACATTTTAGGATTAGAAAGTTAATTTTAAAGGTTTTTCTTGCAAATTGAAAAATTAAATGTTGTATTTTTACAGATATCTGATGCTAAAGCTGTCTCGGAAAAGGGTCGAGTAGGTGCGTATAAAAATAAAAGTATTCAAACTGTTAGCTTTTAAGAGACCTTCTTATCATTTGCATGCTGATCACTTAAACGTTGGTTTGCGTGTATTCTAATACAGTAATGTGATTAAAAATGTTTATTTACTATTATATTTAACTATATTCAACTTTAGTTATGGAAACTACTTTGAGTTTTCATTCTTAAAAAAATATATATATTTTTAGCACGATTTTAATAATTTTTACAATAGACATTTCGCACTAGAGCTATAATATATTTATGGTCATGCTAATTGAAATACAACGTTCAAGTATTAGCTACATTTTATATTAACTTTTATATTAATTTTGTTTCACACTGATTAATTGCTTAGCTGTAAATAACTAGTTAGTATACATTTATCAAATACATTCATGCGAACGAAAGGGACCCAAGGTAAATAAATAAATAATTTAGGGGGGTTAAGTAGTAAACATACTTTTGTGTTACGAAAAAGATATTGGATACTAAATCAAGCCTTTGGACTATAGAAATTAAATGATTTTATAACAAAACCGCTTGAAAAATTGCCTATTATTGACTAAATAAATCTTAAGTCTTGTTTAATGATTGGAAGTAACGTTTAAAAATGCAGTTCGGGAGTTGGGACGAGCATTAAATTTCAGTGACGTTTTGTAGCATGCAGAATCTTTCTCTAATTGCAATACTTTTTAAATACCTGGACCACTAAAAAATCCAATAGTCAGTTTAAAAAAGAATACTTTTACTATTGTGTTGTAGTACTGAAACTTATAAAACTGTCTTAAATACTGGTAAAAAACATAACTATATTTAAAAGTACTTATGAACATAATGTACAAATACAGTACATGCCTATCAGGCCTATGCCAAATAATTACATGACGAAGACTTGAGCTTAGCTAACAATTTAATACGCCTTAAACACACATTCAATGAAAATACTCTACTAGTTTTACCTATGCCAGAAAACCAAATAAAGAGCTCATTGTACATATCAGAGTATTAGATATGATAGTAGAGTACTGCGATTATCGTCAATCGTTAAAACAATTAATAAGTAACCCTTTTGGAATTGAACTATGTCTGTATTTTGTTGATGTTAACTTTTCTTCAGCGGATAGGTTGTCTGAAAAAATGACCAAAAGTACTATTTTTAATTAATTGAGGTTTTTTAAGTAATTTGTATAAGAGTTTCTACTAAGTAAAAAAAAAAAACAATCTTCACTTTGGATAAAACATGACTATTCAGTTTAATCATGACAAAAACATTTTGTAAACGATATAAAAGTTCGTATTAATTAAATGATTGAAACAAACTTGTTTATGTGTCATTTGCTAAATGGTGTTCGAAATAACACATAACAAAGGAACCTGTTTTGCAAATTAGCCATTTTATTAGGGCTTGATTCCGTGGCATAACGAATTAATTGTCAAAGATTATGCTTGTTTCAGACAATCTTTAAGTGAAGAACTACTGATTAACAATACATTTAATTTTTGTTTTTAGATATACATTTGCATTATGAAGTGTGATTTACTTACCTCAATCGGGCTGCAGTTATAACAAAGTTGCCTTTTAAATATCTATTTTAATACACAGTTTTGTCCCATGTTTACAATCTGACTGTGATAAACGTTGCACTGAAAGATCAGATGAACCCATTATATTCTCATCCAAACCATTGTAAGCATTTAAGTTGATCAGCATCACTGAATGTTTGAAAAGAAAAGAAAAAAAAAAATCAAACGCGAGGGGGCAAAGGGCTGAAGGAAATAACATTTTAGTTAACATTCGTCACTCTACTAGGTCATAAGCTTTTAATTACACCTCAATGGTAAAGATCGTTTAGTAATATGTGTGACGTCTGAAAATGGGATGTTACAGAAAAAAACTATTTTTGCATTAAGTAGCCCAATATTAATTCATATTCATTGGAAAGATCGGTAAAGATTAGAAACACTAACCTGTCCTATTATCACAAAAACAAACCCCGTATAGTAGGTTATAGAGCGTAGCTCTTTGGGATCAACTTCAATGCAACAAATAAAGCAACATCACTCAATAACGGCTGAACACATTTCAGCTAAACTTAACAAGATTACTTAGACTAATAGTGAGATGGTTAATAAACAAACAAATTTCAATTAGATAATGCTAATGCAATTTAAAACGAACTTAAAATCTCCAAATTTTAACATTAGGCTTATGGGACTAAAGTAGCCATACCGTATGACAGTTTTTTGTTTACAAGAAAAATGTAAACAAGAGACCCATAAGGTATTTCTGAACTTTCTAGACTTTTCTTTTAAACGTTTTAAACCATTCCTATGATTTTAATAAACAAGAAAATGCCGTTAAAACATTTTTTTAAGGCGCGGAATTCACTGAAAATCGATAAAATATACGGAAATACTTTCTCAATGCGCGGAGCATAAACAAGGAGCGAAGGGATACGGACCAGTGACTACTTTCTTGGGAACCTATTTGTGTTGCCAGCTGATTAGAAACAACCAATGTTAGAAATCAGAATTTAATAAGCGATATATCAAACTGCATCGAAATCGATATTTAATCCGATAATACATCACTGGTTATATTATGTTGAATTACTTACATCGACGGTGCAGAAAGTTATTACACTTATTAATAAAACGCATATTGAACACTGATCTAATTTAGGCATGTGGGGAAGGTAGGTCGGGGTTTATGAGTATTCGTTATACATTCAGTGTTTTTTGAAGTAAGGTTAGATTAGGGAGGTAAAGTGTAGGTTATAGGTAGGTGATCGAGTTGTTTATTTGTGTTGCACCATATAATTTTTATCTTTTGGAATAGTTGGTAAAAACAACAAGATGTAGTAAAAACAAATCTGAATTATTATAATTTTAATCAATAAAACCAGCATTAGTACATCTATTGACTTTTTTACATTTAGTTACTTATACAAATATCAAATCACGTTTGTTCCGCTCAACTAGCTTTCACCTCTCTGAAAGCAACCCTAGTATATATAATTCGTTGGGGCTACGAAACGCAGAAGAATTGAAATAATAAAAAAAGGACTAATAATTATTGACGGTATATCACATAAGCAACATTTGGCTAGCTTCAAAAATATCTATGTTCAGTTTCCTGTGAATTTTCATTGTCCCCATAATATGAATTCAACATGCAGCTGGTTTTACATGCCCTACGCTAACCCATGTTGCAATATACACACTTTTTGTGCGCTTCCGTTTCAGTGTTTTGCATTTTTTCTAAAAGAAAAACAGTCCAAACCCTTAATAATATGCATCAATACTTTTTCAGAGGAGCTGACCCTCAACCTAGATGAAGCTGGTCGTGAAATTGAGGACAAAAGCAGCAAGGAAGCCAATACTGCAGAACTGACCAGAACCTACGGTCACATCAAGTTTGGACTGCTCAAAAAGAGAGTGGAAAAACACAAGTTGAAGAAAACGTTAGTGTTCTTAGTCAAACGGTACTTCCTTCACATGGGAGCCTTCATCATGGAATCCATAATGACACCGATACAGATCATCTGGGCCAGCAAATACAGATGGATAGGCTGAGAAGCTTGCAGATAACGTTTGCAGATAAAATGTATGTCATTTGAAAAAAAGTAAACAGTTTGATTGATAGTAGTCGCTTTTAATGTATATTTCCCCACACTACTTCGTTTATGGACTTTCCATGTGTGGATTTGGTCTAGAAACAGCTGTTTGCCTGCTTAAAATGTGATTTCAATGACTACTACTGTACGGTAATGAAATTTCCTGGACACCAGCTGATTATAATTAACCTAATTTTAGTTAGATACATCTCAGATATTTGATAAACATTAATAATTATCAACTAAGTGATGATAAACTACGTCATGTTACTAACTTACAAATAATATCCATACAATTTTGTACAGTAATTATTTAAATAATAATTTAATAATTAATAATTTATAATTTAATTAATTATTTTTATAATTTTTTAAAGTTGTTCACACTAAACACAAAGTTTGATAATAAGTAGTCAGACGAATAGCAGGGGTGATAAAAGAAAACAAACATAACCTCTCACAGAAGTCATTATTGTCAAGTCCTTAGCTGGCACGACTTTTTTTTATTGTTGGTTACATAAGGGTTTAATGGTGAAAGATATAGTACGCCACTGCCACTCGTCCAAAATGTGTTTTCCGGACTAGTAACGTAATTAGCCACTAAGTATAATTTTAGTTAGATATACTGGTCATTCTCTTGTTCAAATTAGAAGTTCTTTTTAAGACGATTCGGACATGATTGTCAATTGATCTCTTTCTTATAAAACCTGCAAAGTGGCCTGGTTTCAAAAGAATAAAAAAAGTATAAGCATATTCCGACGTGTTTTGATATCGGCCTAGAATCCACCCCTTAGGAGTTCGAATAAAACAAAGGATTTTAAAAGTTGAATACTGGTCTCAATAGCATGAAAATAATAACTACAATCATTAACTAAAGATCGTAGTAGATATTCAATTCCTATGTTAAAAAAATATATACTATGTAAGAATGACAAGTTAGCATCACAAGCATACTTAGTGAGTAGCACAATCAGAATTATGTTATACTTGAACAAAGAATCGGTTCCAGCAGAACCAAGGTTTGATTAACGGTATATCTACTTCAGTACCTATCCAAAAGATGTACTGAGTAATATATCCAGTAGGACATCCTTAAATATATTCAGTGTACAGTGCCAAAGCTTAGTGAAAGGTTTATTTAAAGGTCGTGTACATAAACTTTATTATGTATGGTAACACTTTAATTGATACGTGGTAAATATAAAACCTAATTTAAAAATTACTAAAAGTTTTTAGTGAACGCACCACTAAAACTAACGAAAATGATTAATTACCATTGTTGAAATCTTATTAAAGTTTTGAATTATCGCCAAAATACATTAAATTTGCAATACAGTACTCTAATCCTTCTAGCACAGAAATCAGAAATCAGAAATCAGAAATCAGAAACATTTATTGCCGAAAACATTACAAAAATGTATAGGCCATCGTCAGGTACAATTTATAGCAAACATGAATTGCTTGTCTTAAGAAAACAAACATTATCAATAAGAAGCAGTCTTTAAATCGTCTTTAGATTTCTATCACAGAAGTTGATTGAAAAATAAATATATAATTATATAAAACAAATGTCAACAATACATACAATTTTTTCAACAGTTAAAAAAAGTCACAATAACAAAATAAAACTCAACAATATATAGTACAAAAAAATTGATAAAATTTCTATGGGAACACTGCCTCGCAGCAATCAAGGTTCTAGACAGAGATCTCAACTCCTATGGTCTTTGATACTCGAATACTCGAATTGATTTTCGAGAAAGAAATCGACTACAATCACAAAATGACTGAGCTAGTTGTCACTAAATTGGAATCAATAAAATAGTATTACTCAGTTTTCTCACAGCACAAATCGATTCTAGACTGGAGAGTGAGCTCTCCGAAATAGGATGCTCTCTTTACTTTCTCCCCTTATATAAGGAGAAAGTATTGTTATCACCAAATTTATCGGGTTTTAGTTTTGGGCAGAAATATACGTTTTGTGTCCCCTAGTTTTCGAGTGATGATCGTGTGTCTATGGAGCTAAAATTTGGTTTTAACATCAGAAAAAATACACGTGGGACTAGGCTGAATAAAAGATTAAAACCATATTATGATTCCCAGTTCTTTATAAAACTGTCAACGTGAAACTGCAAGCGGCAAGACGAGTAAGTAGAGTGGTTGCAGTAAAAAAATAGAAGGCGCGACATTATAAGTGTCGATCTGGATAACGCGGAGAGGGGATAGTTATTTTCTGTGACAACAGACAGTCAAGCAACGCGAGAGACCGAAAAACACAATGGCAGCGTATGATGGAACCTGTGTACTGACTCTCTCAATTATCAATTAATTGAGTAAAGGGCCGATTTACTGAATAGGCATGGTAGGCACGTGCATAGTGTGCACGGCAATTGGTTTTTTTTGGGGGCGCCAAAAATTGGAAAATAAAATATTTTGAGGTTGTATTTGCGTAAGATCACGTTAAACTTCTGATAATCCCTCGCGGCCGTATAGACATCGTAATCGTCTCCCGATCTGACTTTTTCCCGCTCGTGTAGACTTAATTATCGTCTTCCATGATCGCGGAAATATATGTACATATCCTGCGGTCGTGTGGACATTATAATCGTCTTGCGCGATCGTGGTCATATTCTGATCACCCCTCACGGCCGTGAAGACGTCATTAAATCGCCCCCGCGGTCATGTGGACATAGAAATCGCTTCCCGCGATTGCGGCAAAATAGTTTTCTTCTCCCGCGGTTTGTGGAGATCATCATCGTCTTCCACAAATGTGGCAAAATTCTGATCCTTTCCCGCGGATGTGTTGACATTATCATCGTGTTGCACGATCGCGTCATAATTTTAATCATCCCTCGCGGCCGTGTGAAAATCGTTGTATCTCCCGCAGTCGTGAAGACATCGTAATCGTCTCCCGCGTTTGCGGCAAATCATATCCCGCTGTCGTGTGGAGATCATAATCGTCTTACGCGATCGCGGCAGAACTCTTGCTGTTTCCCGTGGCTGTGTGGACATTATCGTCGTATTCCGTGATCGCGGAAAATTCTGATCATTCCTCGTGGCCGTGTGTAGACATATTATTGGCCACGGAAACGTCACTGGTCTCATGCGCGTTCGCGGTAAATTGAACATTCAAGGTAGAAATACTTAAAAAATTCACGCGTAATTCCCGGTAAACAAAAAACTCACGCATAATTCCCGGATTTCCCGGTGTTCCCGGTCGTTGGATACCCTGTTATATATAATGCAAATGGGTGCTACTATTAGTTGTGCATAGATCGCTGACAGGGTCTGAAACAGGCCTGCGACCTAGGTTTAAGCCCAAATAGATTAAAACCCAAATATGAGTGTAGAACAGTGTGAGATGATCTGTGTAGCTTTGTTGCAGTCTAAGATCAGCTGTTTCATCAGTCTTGCTAATGGATTTAAAGCCGCAATGATTAGGGGCAGCTGGGCCCAGTTTTGGACCATCAGAAAGCTACTGACTTTTCTCAGGATCGAATCGGAGACCTTATGTCATTGTTAGGCTGAGACTGGTCGGACCTGAACCCATTGGCCATTCCCCAGGTAGACCCGGTCAGGAGACAGGATCCATCATTCAGACTATATAAATGACAGTTCATAAAGTTCACACGGAAAAGTAACGTAATGTACTTTTAACGGGCACTGCATGGTAATAGTAGTTTTCATTACTGGTCTCGAAAGCGACTTATTACGGGGAGAGAAAGTGTATTTTCTTGTGCAAAGTAATGAAATAGTATGTTACGTTACTAGCCCGGTAAGTGGTGTTTTACCATGTGAGCACGACAGTTCCCGCGCGATGCGTAGCCGTTATGGGATTTTCGTGCGATTACTGTAAAGCTTACCGGGCGAGTAATGTACGATACTTTACATCATACTACATAGAAGATACGAACATTTTAAACTCATATCACAATTTATTGAGTACATAACATAAGTTATAATCTTACTAATATTATAAATGTGAAAGTTTGTGTGTTTGTTTGTTTGTTTGTTTGAAGTTCAATCACGCATAAACCACTGGACGGATTGGGCTGAAATTTGGCATGATGATAGCTTACATTCCCGATTAACATATAGGCATATTCTTATCTCAAAAATACTTTCGGGCTCCGCCCCAGTGGCTCTGTAATTCCCAATGTTAACCTTATGAGTATTCATATTTAAAGGAAATTAAAGAATTTAGTCAGCTGTTTCAACTAAAAAAGTTGGTTCTATGGTATGTAAAAGCATTAAAAAGTTATAAGATTTACCAACAGGGTGCAGCACTATAATTTTTTATTGCATTTATGAAAACAACTAATTTGAACTAAGCAGCAACAAAAACTGTGATTCGCAATAAGAACTGTCAAAGTAGGATAGTTTACAGTTATGTTTATGTTTTTCATTTCATGAATAATTTGTGATATTTTGCGAATTGTTGATAATTTATTTTTCTCTATTGTTTAGGTGAATTGGTAGAACATTATGGCTATGGTAGATGTGTAATACTATAGAATACTGTAAATGTAAAAAAGCAAATTTGATCAAACTGTGTCCTCCCTTATTGCAAACGCAAAGCTTGAATATAACTACAATAAGCATTTTATACTTAAATACTCCAACCCCGTACGAAGGACGGGTACTCTTCTAGTATTTTTATATTACAGAAAATAAAATAGGCTGTTGCAGTTACCTGTTTATTTCATCAGCTGACTAAGTGCACGGTAAAAGTACATAACGTTACTTTTCGTGTTTAGGCACTGTAGGCTAAAGGGCAACTTTCCAGCCTATCAATACGGATGGAAAAGTGTCTGTTTCTGTGTAGTATGATGTAAAAGCTTTTTACCGTGCAATTACGAACGGCATATTTTATTTTCTGAAATATAAAAATATTATAATTTTTCTTATGTACTAAATAAATTGTGTGATGAGTTTAAAATGTACTAATTCTTCTATGTAAATCATCAGATGTTAAACGCAGATGTAAAGTATCGTACATTACTCGCAATCCCGCAATCGGCTACGCATCGCGCGGGAACTGCCGTGCTCGCACGGTAAAACAAGACTTGGGTTAGTAACGTAATATACTATTTCATCATTTTACGAAACTAAATTGAAGAGTAATGGTGCTCTTTCATAGCCTACCGACCACACCAAGTATTTTATATTGTATCCAGCACACTAGGTTAAGTTAGGTATTTATATACTAAAACGTTCATTTAGTTTCATTTAAAATTTAGGTTACCCTTTCCTTACCTAACATGATGTGGTTGGTATACTTGATTACTTTTCATTGAAATGGCGACCATGTGAAGGTAGGTATTTTAAGCCTAGTATAAATAGAGATTAGTGTATAGGATGAGTGGCGCGATATCGTAGTCTTGTTAGTGACTAAGGCCGACATGTTCCTTAAATAGGACAGTTAATTAATAGTTAAAATAAAACCGAAGAGTACCTAAGAAACTTATTTGTTTGTAGCTGTATCCTATGCCTAAGTTACTAGCATATTGTAATGGGAAAGTCACCAAACGAATGAGTGTGAACTATCTTCCTCTTCAACACAATTGTACGTCCTTTGCTGGGTATAACCACAGTTTCCCAACGGCCTCTAAAGGCATTGCATTACCCCAAGCCACTCTACCGTTGAATCTGGAGTCGGGTGTACATTGGTAACAAAATGGGTATTCGAGAGATCTTGAGTATGATTATTTATCCAGTTAACACAACGCCACCTTTACTTCTCAGTTTACTCTCCCGGTTACTATATACTACTATATACTACTCCCAGTTTACTCTATTTACTATACATAGTAAATAGAGCAGGTATTGTTTTTGATAATTACAATTTTCAAGTTCGAGTTAATTTAACATAATATATGTTTTGGCCCTCCTGAACCAAAAAAAGTGGTTTTTAAAGTTACGTCTATATGTGTGGATTTGTGCAAAACTACAGACTAAACATGTTGTCAGAATTTCATTAAATTTTGTGTGTGGGGGTAATATAACACATGTGTAATATAGCACATGTTACATGTGTGTTTTTTTAGATTCTTTCCAAAATTTAGATGTTTAATGGCAATTTTCCTATAAAACCCATAGAATTACAAATAAATAAATGTGTCTGAAAAAAATAACACAGATCAAAACAAGTTAATTAATATTTAGTAAGCTATGGTCATATTAACTGTAAACGAAATAGTTAAACTTTCAATAGTGTAGAAATTACGGTTCAAAAGTTATTGCAGCTTTCGTTATTTTCCTTATAAAATATCATAGTTACTTCCACCGCTTGCCCATGAAGCTGGGCTCTGACAGGGGCTGGGCTAATGGGGAAAAGTATGCGTCAGACTGCTGATACTGTTTCTTGCACTGCATGTAATCAATTTTCACTAGTTTTGACAAACCAATTGAAATTGGATGGCTAATCTTCCATATTACGCAAGTCTACGTATACCATACACTTTAGTATAATAGTAGTAGTCTTGTTATACTGACATTTAATTCTTACTGTCATTCTGCGTCAATTGTCCTTGTGGCCTTTTTGAAAGCGCTACAGTACACAACTGCCTACTGTTTTTGCATAAACACTTTTTCCCACCGTTACCAGTTACTTGACAAAGCGGGCTTTCTTGCACTGATTATAGCACGCAAAGGAGCTAATTCCTGCGTTTAGGCCTACTTACTTTGCTGCACTCCAATCCAAACAACACAGAATAGTGTGCTTTTATTAGCAATGGTATTCGGCTCACATAGGCATTATACGCGTACGCTTAAAAACATGTTGGTAACACCGCTAAATCGATCAGCTGGTGCATTGTTTATTTGTCGTTACGTTTGACCATTGATACAACACAACTACTTAACTTAACCTATAAACCTGTTGTTGCTTGTTAACAATAACATTACAAACCAACAATTATATTAAGATTTTGATTAATTATGTTTGTGAAATTTCATTCGGATTTTAATTTCTTTGTGAGACAATTTCATTTAGGCTTAAATTTGTTAATTTGTCAAACTGCATAGAATCTGCATATATTTTTACCATTACCCATTTTGTATGCTTTATAGAAACTGTAGGGAAAAAAATAATGTATAACATGAGCGCAAAGCCACTTTGCACACTAGTTAAAATAAATATTTAAGACCTATCTTAGCATTGTGACTTAGGCCTAATGATTTTGGTTTGGACTTTTGTAAAGCCAAAATTAGAAGACCTAGTAATATTGTATGAAAAAAAAATAGTAAAGGAGCGTATCGAGTACGCCTATGTTTTCAGTACAGCTAGTATCGTTGCCATTTGAAATAATGTACATGGCATATAGCTTGGTACTAGGCCTAGACAATGAACATCCTAAATGAGTTGTACAAAATGAAAACATGTCTATACTATTTTACCGCGTTAGACATTTTCAATATTTTTTGGTTCCCATAATGTACTGCTATGTAGTAGTTGCTTGCTAGATACCGAGTTTTATAGCTTGTGTTGTCACTGCAGTATAATTGTCCCCAGCTGTTGGATACACATGTGTACCGTGCCTAGGTAGAGGTTACATGTTAATGTTCTTCTAGAAAATGTCTTCTATAGTTTTACACCGAGCAACACTCAGCTTCGTCGTCTTGACATCTGTGTTAGTGAGTGATAATCATTACGTAATAACAACCATTTAGCAGCTGTTATTTCATTGTTGCCCACAACTAAATTTTATCTTTTAGCTATTAATTATTTAGTATGTTAAATAAGTTCTTTTCAAGAATATGGACTCTTTGTAGGAGTAGATGCAAACTATATGCATCAAATAGAAAACATTGTCAGCGCAGTGAGTGGCAAAGATGTTTAAGATAGCAATTATTTCAAAACTTCCAATAAATCGGTTTCAAAAATGCATGAAAGAGTAAGCAAGATTGAGAGTACAATTTATATTTATGTTATGATTTAGGGTTTTCTCGCTTTCATTAATATATGTATTTTCTAAGGTCATACGTTGGTAGTAGTGGGGTCGTATAGCTGCATATAGTGGCAGAATATTTCAGTTCTGGCGGAGAGGCTGCAATTTTAGGTGGTTATAGTATACAAGTTTCTGAACCAAAAACCGCCCAGACACCAATTTTTTTAGGACCAAAATTATTTTATCAATTTTTGTTATCAAGCTTTCTTGATAAAATATTACAATTGTTTTTATTTAATATGTCAATACATATTTCAAAAATCAAATATGACAATGAAAAACGGATTGCGGCATAGAATTCAGCATAAAAAGGTAGTTCCAAATGATGGGTCACAACACCACATTCATATTTAAAATAATTTATCACATTTCAAAATGGCGGATCCAATATGGCGGCTGAAAAAAAATACATCCGTCACAACCGAGTGAAAATAGGTCAACAATAAATGGTGGTGTCCACTTATCTTTATCTAGCACTATTTTGAGATTATGGCCTTAGTTTGTAAATGTACAATGTTATAGTGGACTAAAAATAAAGTTATAAAATGTTCTCATAACTTTAGAATGGATCAACATTTATTTAAACGGATTGCAGCATCGTATTTAGCGTAAAAGTCTTGTTTGAAACGGTGGGTCACAACCCTACCTTTATATTGAAAAAATAATAACTCTGTATCCAATATGGCGGATCCAAGATGGCGGCCAAAAATTTAAACCCAGTCAAAATGAAGTACTTGCTACTCTACAATGATCTGACGTGGTTCGGAGTTGATATCTTAAGAAATGTATAATCACAATTATTTTCCTCATATTTTTTTAGTTTTGAACAGCCGCCATTTTGAAATGACTTAATGAAACTTGACCATTTTCAACCCAGGCCGAGATAATGTATTCAAGCACAAATTTCATGAAAATCGGTTCAGGCATTCGGTCGTTATAGCCAATTCACGGGGACCGAGCATCCTCCTACGGCCGCCATTTTGATGACGTCATTACGGACGACCGAGGTCCAAAAAATTGGGGTCTGGGCGGTTTTAGGTTCAGAAACTTGTATACTATAACCACCTAAAATTGCAGCCTCTCCGCCAGAACTGAAATATGTTCCTGCTACCCAACCTGACTATAGAGTAAGTTGAAATAATTAGTTATCTTGGTCTTAGGGTATAGCCCTAAATTTTTTTTACATATTGTATAAAGTACATCGGCATTGATTCTTTGATTGTTCCCTTTAAAGGTTTGTGAGGGGAGGTTCCTCGATTATCTCCTACACAAACAAGAGGGTAAGTTATTTGCAGAAAGTTAATAGTCATGTAGCAAAAATATTTTACTAATTATATGTGATTATTCACTAAGCACATAATTTCCACACTTTGTTAGAATCAAAGTTCTTCGTCAAATTAATAGTTTGTCTGTTTTTAAATAAGCCTCTATCTTAGACCCGCCTATAGTCTGTATGATGTAACCTGTCTCCTGACCATACGTATCCCTGGGGATTGGTTAGTGTTTTTAGGCCCGGGCCAATCCCAGTAAGACGAATGGTCAGGAGACAGGTTCCATCAGACGGATTACAACTGTTTTATTTATTTATTTATTCCAACGGTTTCTCCATTAATACAATTTTGTCAAACTATGAACTATACATAAGTAGCAAATAATAAGTTAATATCAGTGGTTACAAAAATCGTGCAATAATAATAAATAAGGAAGCTGGCAATAAATACATGAGTGGGACCTAAAAACTACAATAAATAACAACAAGAAGACTATGTCTAGTAATAATGGTAACAAGTAACAAGCAGTAATGACGGTAACTTTACAACAGGCAATAACAACAACGATTAAATAAGACCAACAAAATAGACTATGGCAACAAAGATAACAAATTATGAACTGTGAAAATAATAACAAAAGACAGTAAAATATTACAGAAGTATTAACAAAAGTATAATTTGTGGGAGTGTGTGTGTGTGTGTGCATGCATGACATGGGAAGAACACTGTGTCAAACACCAAACACCATGCTAAAAAGCACCAACTTTCATTTGTGGCCCTTTAAAGGCACCACCTATATTGCACTGCACCTCGCTGAGGTAACACCAGCCTCAAAACAGAACTAAGGTGTGGCCCTTTAAAGGCACCACTTAAACAAGAACTACACATCACTTGTTCCCACAGGAGGGCAGGAAAATGCTTCTAAGATGTTCTCTCTTGTAAATATCTTGAAGGGTCTCTCTTGAATGAGGAAGAAGAAATCCCGAAGAAGTCAATGTGAGTCGAAGCCTCTCCACCCAACCTCAGCAACCTTGACAACCCATGATGGTAGGAGTAATTCCTTGCTTGGAATCCTCTGGCAAATAACGTTTTGGATCTGGTTCCTCTAGGGGCAGAGAATTCTATATTATTCAGCAAAGATGTGCAGTCGATGATACCATTCACGAGTTTGAAGAGAAACTGCAGGTCGTAACATTTCCTTCTCAGACTGAGTGGTTGCAGATCATGGTATTTCTCCAGGGTGATAATAGGAACATCCTGAAAGTGGTACCCCAGTCTAAGACCAATCAGTCTAATAAATCTTCTTTGTATCTTATCTAGTATATCGATGTGCAAAGACTGATAAGGAGACCAGACAACAGAGCAGTATTCCATCACGGGACGTACCAAAGTCTTGTAGAGGATTATAAGTGTGAGAGGGTTCTTGAGGTCTTTTGTTGTTCGAAAAATGAAGCCAAGAAGTGATGAAGCCCTTTTTGCTATTTGGCTGATATGCTCATAGGGACTGAGGGTAGGAGTAGTTATGACGCCCAAATCTTTGACCATATCAACCACTTTCAGAATGGCACCGTTTATGCTGTAGTTGTAAGGGTGCACTACAGTACTGCGACTGAAGAACATCGTGAGACACTTGGCAACATTCAACTCCATAGCGTTTTCATCACACCATTTACTGATTTTATCCAGAGATGACTGGAGTTGGTCTTGGGAGTCTGAGCATGTTACCTCCGCAAATACCTTGATATCATCAGCAAAAAGAAGAAAATTGGATGATATTACCTTGCTTATGTCATTTATGAAAATATCAAACAGCAGAGGACCCAGGTGAGACCCCTGGGGTACCCCAGACGGAACAGGGAACGGATAAGAAAAGCCTCCATCACACTTGACAATGAGCTCTCGATCACTCAAATAACTTCTTAGCCACCGCAGTAGGGATCCACATATACCGTAGCCTTCCAGCTTTGCTAAAAGTAGACGATGGTTAACCTTATCGAAGGCTTTGCTGAAGTCAAGATATATGCAGTCCACTTGTGAAGACTTATTAAATGCTGACATAATGTAGTTTTGGAAGACTAGAAGGTTTGTAGAGGACGAACGACCACGTAGAAAGCCATGTTGTTCAGGGATGATAAAACTGTTAAGTTGGAAGAGTAAATTATCCAGGACAAGACTTTCATATACTTTAGCTAAGCATGGTTGAATGGCAATTGGTCTGTAATTCTTTACATCGTTGCTACTACCAGACTGATGGGCACAACATAACTTTGCTTTAGCTTGGAAGGAAAATCCCCTCATCAAGCAGTTTTTTAAAGTAGATTGCAAGGTGTGGGGCAAGGACTTGGGCACAATGTTTGAGAATTGCAGGTGGAATTCCATCAGGTCCAGCTCCCTTGTTAGTGTCAAGACACTCAAGTTTCTTTTGAACATCAATCGCCGAAAAAACGCAGCCGTTGATGGTTTTGTTCAGACCAAAGTTGAAGATAGGCACGTTGACGTCCATGTCACCAAACACCGATGAGAAATACTCTGCAAAGAGATTACATTTTCCGTCAGCTTCGGTAGCGTTTGCAGATTCGAAGATCATTCTTGAGGGAAAAGTAGAAGAGCTCTTTAGCTTTTTCACATGTGACCAGAATAACTTTATATTGTGAGGGATGCCTTCCTCCACTCTACTGATGTAATTTGAGTAGCAGATACTGGTTAAAACCTTGCAGTCTCTTCTGGCACATTTAAAATCTTCATAATCAGAGGGTGATAGAGATGACTTATATTTCTTATGAAGTATTTTCTTAAAAATAATTAGTCTCTTCAGATCCTTGGTAAACCAGCATGGGAAGTTACAATTTGCAGTCTTCTTTAGGGGAGAATGTAGTCTGATACTCTTTCCAAGAAAATCCGAAAACCAGTTAAATGTCGTTTCAGCATCATGAAGCTCATCAAACACAGGGTAGTTGAGGTTATACAGGTCTTTCAACACTAAGTCAACATTGCATCTGCGATAGTTGATGTATTCCCTAGGGCCATCAGAGGAAGTAGACAGAGTGGCATTAAAAGTAAAGAACAAGGCAGGGTGATGTCTATCCTCCTCTAAAAGGACATCCTCAGCAGTTTCAACTTGCAGCCCGTGAATCGATGAGAAAATCAAATCCAGCAACACACCTCGAAAATTTGGAACTCGGTTGACTTGTTTCAGATCATAAGAAGACGCAGCCTCTAGAAGAAAATGGGAAGAAGGAGATATAATCTTGGAAGATTCGTGGTTGACCCAGTCTGTATCGGGCTGGTTGAAGTCACCTTAGTGGTTAGTTTAATTACTAAAGGGCAAACCTGCACATTAATCCCTAAATATTTGGTTGAAGTAGTTGATATAACTGCGCAGTGAAATTAATAATCCCGTAAAAATATAAAGAAATAGTATAAGAACAGTTCTATGAGATACAAACAGGTTTTTACAGCCGTGACTTCTTTTAATACGATTCAACGAAATTAAAACAAAGTTGTTAGCTACCCATGCTGATAAATATTATAGTATGATCTTTCACTGGGAACTGTTCCATATGCTAACAGTTTTATTTGCACAAAATAATTTCTCTAAATCTATGTTTCTGTTCTTTGCAGAAGACCATGTAGAGCGCCCACGGACTGATGCGGTGATAGAGTTTCCAAGCTTGGACGAAATGACGTCATCGGAGAGGGCAGCCAATCGTCAGCGGGCTCGCAAGGTAACTTAGCCTTCAGTAAGTCGTCACATAATAATATTATATTGATTGAAAAAATCCCCATGGACGTATGAATTCAATAACACAAAAAATCTAATACATTAAATTAGCTTGACTGATTTGAACAAGTTATCGATTATTGTTACTGTATACTTCAAGAACGTAGTGGCGAACTAACTTGGAAACAAATTACGTAACCAATAAAAAGGAAACGAATCTGTCCTTATCTATGTATTTGGTTTAATCTGCTGAAGAATAATTAGGGGATTTTAACTAGTACAGTGTTTTTATATATTAACATTTTCACTACTAGGTGTCAGCAGACTATACATACATACATATGGGTGTGACGCATGTTAAGGGTCTAGGGCAGTAGGTAGTCTTGAAAGTGAATCTGAAAGAGTCTGAAGGGTAAAGTTTTAGATCTTTAAAATCACATGAAGATTTGCAGGATATATTGGCCTAGCCCCTATAGTCATGTTTTAAGGCGTTTCTTTTAACATATAGGCTACATAGTCAAAGTAGTTTTTATAAAATATTCACTTTAAAATCCCTTTCTATTGAAAAAATTCACCAAGTAAAACAAAAACAAATTCAAATTTATATTTTAGAGAGCAACAAACGCTAGTTTTAGTTTGAGAAAAGTGTGCTGTAGGCTTTCAGTTACACGGTTTGTTAAAATTTATGATGATTTAAAAGATGATTTACCAGTTTTAATAATTTATGGACAAATATAATCTGATTTGAAAATTCATATAACGGCTAAAGACACGATTTCAAACAATTGTAATAAACTAATTTCTAAAAAGCAAGGTTGATCACATCTACACATATTGTTTAGTATTAAAACTAAAACTAAGGGATAAGTATAGTAATGATTAGTGCTGAAAATTCAAACTGATATCAGGCACACCATGACGACTATATATTAATATTATATAAGTTAAGGGAAGTAAAAAAGTTTGATTTTACATCATGATTAAGCTCAATCCTTCAATCCGGATTGTGGGGAGACTGTTGATTATTTTAATGTTTTTCATGTGTCTTCCTATTTAAGGTTGCAACTATTATAGAGAAGAACGTCCATATGCTTGCAAACGATATTCTCCAGATGTGGGCGATCACCAGGACCGAGAAGGAAGATGAAAACGTCGATGCTGATTCAGAGACTGAAGGTACTGTGGATGAAGGAGAGGCTGAAACGTCAGATACAGCAAACAATCCATCTGAAATAGAACCAGGAGATACTGGTGAGGAAGCCGAATCTCAAGAGAATGAGACTGCAGATGATATGGATCCAAAGGAAGACGGAGGTTCCAAAAGTGCGACAGAAGATTCATCACAGATACATACAGAGACTGATGAAGCAGAAAAACAACTACAAACCGGATCAGTTGAAGAAACAGCTGGTCAAGATGAAGAAGACGATCAAGTAAAAACAGCTGAGGACCCGAAATCGCAACCGAACGAAGATAAAATAATACAAGAAAAGGTTGAGGTCGAAAAGGAGGAAGGAGGTTCTACCGATACGTCACAGGATGGTGGGTCAGAAGTACAGAACCCTAAGGAAACAGATCAGCTTGCAAATGTAGAGGAGAGCAAACTAAACGCCGCTGATGAATCAAAAGTACAGTTGACAGAAGTACCGAGAGTAGAAGAGGCCAAAGGAAGAGCAACGGAGTCAATGGATGACAAAGTGTCAGAAACACAGTCCGTTAGAGAATCAGAAGCGCAAGTAACAGATGAAAAAAATAATGGACCTAACTTTGTTGCGAAGGCAATCGACGATACTGACAAAACAGGTAAAGATGAGAAGGAAATTGAAACAACTTCTTCAAGCGATGATAATTTGGATAAAAATGAAACTAGTGAAACAGACAGTGAAAAATTCTCAACTGATAATCCTTTGGATTTGACTGAAGAATCAAGGAATGAATCAGCTAATGGATCCGCCAATAGTGCAACAACTGAGGGAGATAAAAACATTGCTTCAGAAGAAATGCCCCGTGAACATAACCAAGTTGACAAGGAACAACCACAGAAAAATGAAGAGGTAGACACACAGAGGACGAATGTGGAAGCTCAAACTAACGCACAACGTGATGGTAATAAAGTAAATGTACGTGACAGGAACGACGCACAACTTGATCAAGAAACAAAAACACAAGATCATGACGAAGAAGAAAATGAGACTGAAGACGCAGCGATAAAGACATTTGTACCAGTAGACTTAAATAACAGCAAGAATTCTGAAAGACAAGAGGGGGAAGGAATACCGAAAATCAGAACAGACGAAGATGCAACAGATACAGCAGATAAGACACAATTACAGGCAGGAGAACGGACTAAGGAGCCATTTAAAGACTACAAAACTGAAGAAGTGCAGACTCCGTCAAAGGCGGTAGAACGGAAAGATTCGCCGGTTGAATCTAAAAATGACAAAGTGGGAACGCAGAAACTTGAAACAAAGGAAGGAAACCCCAAAATTTCAGAGTCACCAAGAGACTCTGAATCCATCGGAGAAGGAACACAAGAACGTCAAACAGAGAAAGTAGGAACAGAAGTTCAAGGGGATCAGACGCAGTTAAAGAAAGAAGAACATAAAGAGTCAACAGAAGACTTTGAAACTGACGGAGCGAAAAGGAAGAAACTTGAAACAGAGATAGAAGAAACCGAAATTCCAGAGGATAAGACGCAGTTAAAAGCAGGAGAAGAGAAGGAGTCCCCAGGAGACTCTGAAACTGACGGAATGGAAACGAAGAAATTGGATACCGATGAAGCCACATCTCAACTTTCAGAGGATGAAACCCGGGATCTGCCCGGCGAACACAGCAATGAGGCAACAGATGACTTAAACAGAAGTAAAGTGACAGCGAAGAAGATCGTGGATGGTGGAACAATCTCTAATTTACCTTTAGCTAAACCACTAGCAGAAGATGAATCAAGGAATACCGGAGAAGGAAGCATGTCCGATGATATAAAGAACACTCCAACAACTTCAGAAGAGTTTTTTAGCAGTGATAAAATAATTCATGCATTGCATCCAGAGGGGTACAAAAGACCACGAATGGCAAGAGGGTCGGTGGCCAGAAAGAGGTATATACCTATTGGGGAAATATTTTCTTAATTACGAAAAAATAATGAAGATGAATAATTATAGTGTTGAAGGTCTCAATTAAAGAGATACAAACATCCTAAATACGTTTTTTAATTCATCCCACCAAACTGTATATATATTTGTTTTAAAGAACTTTCTTTGTAAACCATTTAAAATTTCCTACATTCTCGTTTAGAATTTGTATAAACTAATTGTACATTTAGTTGCTCAAAATTATTTATAAATTTACATTATAGAGACTAAAATAATGACATATTGTTATAAAAAATCTGGTTGATTGTAGATATTTACCCGGATGCGAAGGTCGTGCCGCGTCATAATACTGGGTTTGGGGCAAATCGTCGGGTTTGATGGGGAAGCACGCGTTCCCTGGATCAAGACACCCTCATGTTAAACCGTAGTTTTACCAACCAAAAGGGTCGGGGTAAAATGAAACTAATTTCTAGGTATTTTGTTTTCTGTGGCTTAAAATGATATCGGGGCCACGGCAAACCTGCAGATGACTAAAATAATTATATTTTGTACGATTTGTGTAAACTAAAACATTAAAAAAAAAATTCGTATTTATTCCTCATTTAAATAACATTAGATTTAACGAGTACTTTGGTTGGATGCTACTGGGAAGTGAAAAAGAGCTTTTTCATCACTCCGTAACGAAAGTAACTATTTTCGATAACAGCTGACACCAATGAAAGTAGTCGTTTCCCAAGCTCTAATTTAGGGCGAGGGAAAATCGATCAGCTGATTTCCCTCGCTCTCAATTAGTTCTCCATTTATTCTCTACGTGCGCTAGTGTTTTGTTACGGTTTAATTTAATGATTTGAATCAGCTGTATGTATTGTTAAAAGTTGTTTTATTCTTTTATTTTCATGTTTACACCAAATTTATTGAGAAATATACGTAGGTTTCCTTTTAGAAGATATTATTTTATTTTTATGTTCAATCAAATTCATTGAGAAATAAAATAGTTTTAATATTGCTGAGGTCTACTAATCTGTGTTTGTGTATTTTTGCGTGGTGATGAAAAGTATCGTTCGTAACTCGTACCGAAAGTTAGTATCCGGCACTTGCTCCATTATTCCCGTCCTCGGCTTCGCCTCGTACGTGAAGATAGTTCTCACATACTCGGCTTCGCCTCGCACGTGAAATTGGGGTTCCCTGCGTTCGGTTCCACCTCACACAAAAACTTGAGCGCGCGACGGAAAATGCCACTTTCAGTCCTAGTAATGAAATATACTATTTCATAAAATTTAAGAGAATAGGATGAAATAAATAAATTACCCAAATTTGATTAAAACATATCCATAAACATGCAAATTACAACGATTTTTTCCCTTTAGAATAACACGTGAATCTCAATCGTACAGTTTGCATAGAATTTAATCTGCGATTTGTTATTGTACAACAATGCTTCAACATACAAAATTGTTTGTTATCAACCTATAAAAAATATTTACAAATAATAATAATTATAAACAAAATAATTGATTAAACAAACTTTAAAACCTCATAACAGTAGTTTCCATGACCCACTTGATGGTTCGCGAACTCATTCAAGTTTATTTAGTTCTACAGATTTATGTCAAATCTAATCAAAATCGGACCAAAACTAGGCGTGTTATCGTGTTCACGGACACATATATGACCCGATAAAAAAATTAATTTCATTAAACTTAAATTGAAACAAACTAAACATTTGTATATTTTTTATCTGACTAACATACTAGTATTTTTTGGAGATTATTTGAATCTGTCCTGGATTTAAGACTTTATTTTGACTTAACAGAAGCCCCATGTAAATAAAAAAAATTAAAAGAATATGAAATAAAACCTATGGTAGCCATAAAAACGCCGAAATATCTTACTAGGAACACAAATATGGATGAGAACCAAACTTAAAATATTTGAGAAAATTTATAAAAACTTTATGGCCTATTAAATCAAATTCTATTACAATGGATTAAATTATCATCCCTTATCAATTAGATGATCAGAAACTTACCATAGTTATGCAAAACTATTAATTGGGTGTTGGAAATAAACACAATTTTACACTAAAAACTTGTTGCTCCATTATGGGCAGCAAGTATTTTAAGTAAGTATTATATGTTTACAAAATCACACATAGTTTTTAAGTGTTAGAAAATCCTACAAGCAAATAAAACAAATGGCTGAAAATGTTGGCCAAAGTTTCCATTGTTGTCCTGGGTTATTAATTGATAAAGGTCAATGTTGAAAGTAATACCAATGATATAATACTATTGACGTCCCATCTATATGGACCAGCTATAGATTTTTTTTGTTAAAAAAGATCGTAGTTGTGTGAGCTAGTCACAGAATGCGCTAATTTCTAAAACTCTATTTTCTACCTTCTTTCTGGCCAAGCTGATGGGTCATAACAGTTGCTATAGCTCACAATAAGTAATTCCATTAGTTTTAATTGGTATAAAAGATGGTGTATTCAACAGAAATCAGTAATTTAGATCAGCACAATCTGTCGGTGGGTCACATTAACTACGAAGATTTTGGTAAACAAGCTGGTTACAAATTTAACATTGGGATGGAATGTCTAAGGTAATACACAAGCAATTCAATTCAGTAAGTACACAAAAAAAATGTGGTGTGGACAGGGACCTGGCTAGGGGGACCACCAATCACCAATGGATTTTATCTAGGTGGTAATGCTACGGCCCCATTTAAACCTAGCTTGAATTTACTTCAATTCTCTGCTTGAACTGATGGGAATAAAAAAAATAAAGAAGGTTTGTATGTTACGAATACAAACGTAGTTGAAATCATAAGCTTTCAACAAACATTATATTTAAAGGAATTCAAAGGACATTTTTTAATAGTGCAGTACTTGTGGAAACTCAGTTTGCCAATGAATATCAACATAGTATCAAAATCAATCATGTTATATCTTCGTAGTTTCAGCACTTGGAAACTGACGTGAATGACGTGTGTAACGCTTATGACTTGACGTCAATTCTTTCAACTACAATTCTGCAGATGTTAAAGCGAAAACTCTGTTACAAGTCAAAAATTGAGAGAAAAGGCCTCGATACTGAGCAGAAATTTATTTAATTACTTACAAAAGAAAAGTATACTCAATAATAGTAAAATGCTACCAAAATATTATTATGTAATAACAACATATCAATTTATCTAAAAAACATATGTGACAAATTTTTTAAAGTTAGTATTTTTTTATAGTAGTTGCAAAAAAACAAAGCAAGTAGATTATTTCAACCAAATGTTTGAACACTTTATCTTATAACTCGATTGTTATAGTATATTAAGTTACTAGTCCTGAAAATAAGTGTTTCCCGGACCAGTGTGGTCGTTCCCGTGCGAGACGAAGTCGAGTACGGGATTACCATACGAGTCTGGTACACACATTTTGGACGAGTTATGTACGATAATTTACGCCATACTACTAAATTCGTACAAATTCTTATATATTTCCACCAACTAAAGGACTAAAAATCACCAGTCATAACCAGGTTATGTTTTTGTTTATAACCATTAATTGCCACCTAAATACAGTATAATCAGCTGATTGGTGTCCGGTAAAACTCATTGCAGTACAGTAGTACGCAATGAAACCCCATTTGAATAAGCTGGTGGCAAACTGCTGTTTTTTTGGACTAAATCCTTGTGAGGGAAGTTTGTCAAAATAATGTAGTGTGGCGTAAAATATATTTTCTAATGGAGAATGTAAAATAAGTGTATAGCACTTGAGATACGTGCATTGTTTACATAATATCAAACTGATCATAAGTAAATCCCCTAACCAAGTAGAGAATTTACAGAGCTCACTGTATCATTGACTTCTTAGCAATAGTATAAGTTATTGCAGGTAGTGAGCAATAACTAATTTAGCAATTATCAAAGATTGGTAAAAACTTATACAATCAGTACTTCCCCTTTGTGGAAAATATTCAGACTGATAATTTCCAAATTTTGACTAAGGTGGGTTTTTATTAAGATACGTTCTTTAACATGAGTTTAATAGGGTTATTAAGTAATTAGTTTTGATACTGCTACTACTAGTACCTACAACAAAAATATGTTTTGACCCAACAAAAACTAGCAGAAGCAAGGAATTTGGTACATATGCTATGTGTACCTTCCTTTTGAACAAGCTAAAAGTTCTCTAAAATGGAAGCTGTGCTATAGCCGCCATATTGGAAAATTGCGGCATATTTCCGTATTTTTGGATATAGTGGCTTTAATATTAGAGATACAGGAAAAAGCTAAATACACAAAATTTAGTCCACTGAAAAATGCACATTTCTAGTCTATATAATTTGTCTCTATCCCCAACGGTTTTTGAGTTATTTGCGATTAAGTAGAGTTAGTTTTTTATCTATAAAAAAAATAGTGAAACCCATGGAAATTTATGGTTACATTCAAGTTTTACGACAATTATTCATCCCACTCAGTGTGATACAATAAATAAAACACTATCCCGAAAACTTCTCATCCTTATGGTAATTTTTAATTTTAATTTGCTAAACACAAATCAAATTTTACCTCTTTAATTAAAGTTTAATTAATTAAAATGTAGTTTAATTTTTTTATTTACATTTTTTTTTAAACTACCTTTTCTGTTACTAGTTGCTAGGCCGCCGGATTATAAACTTTAAAGTGACACCTTAATAATAAAACGTTAAGTAGAAAGCCTGGAAACGGAATGTAACAGAGATAACCATTATTGAATTAAGTACTACCTGTTAAACCCGTGCTTTGCAACGGGAAAAGAATAAGAAATAGAAACATTTTGATCATTACATCTGTTGTATAAAATAGTTACACATCCACCAACGCTTTTAGAAACAAAATTATTTAATGGCCTTTATAGAAAAATGTGCGATTTTTTAATTTGGCATGTAGTGAAAACCGTCATTTTGGTTTTGATTTATTTTAAATCATGTGTAGATTATTTAACGAAGCTCATATGAGCAAAACTTACTTACATTTTAGAAACATTTTTACATACATGATTTACCTTTATCTCCCTTTTTTCCTTTATTTTTTACAATTTCAATTTCATCCACGAAGTTTCAAAATTACTAATTATTACATTTGAATTAAAATTTTTTTGGCCAATCTTGTTCTAATAAATCACAAATCCTTCCATCTCTATTCACAATAAATCAATAGCAACACTAACATCAGCTGTTATAACATTAGAAATATTGTTGTGCCTATTCTATGATCTGTGCGCCTAATCAATAGTCTTTAAAAAATTAAAGAGATGGTATCTTTACTAACACAAATTGTAAATTATTGATTTAGCTCTTATAAGTAGTAATGTCAATAAGGATTTATTTGTAATGAAATAATAAAGAAAGCCTTATTTTTATATCTTTAGTACATATTATTTAAATTACAAATGAAATTGAGTATTAAAATGTAATAGTAAATACAGTATATGATTCATTGCATCTCTGATTGTACTCTACAAAAACATCTATGAACAACATAATATACCTACACACTAGTTCTTTTAATCAGTTACATAGTTCATCGTCTTTACATTTTCACACTTACTATTAAGTAAACATAGTAACAGATATTTCATTTATCTTAAAAACAACAGAACCTGAGCAGAGCACAAAACTAACCTGTACACAGTTACAGGTTAGTTTTATGAAATATTCCCTGGTTTAACGTAATCAGTGGTGTGAGAAAATACAAATAATTAATTTATTAAATGCAATTAGGTAAATGTAAACTGCAAGATATGTTAAGATAAAGTATTTTGTACTACCATTTAGTAATTAAATGTAGTTACACATACCACCGATTTAAGAACACAAAAATCAACGAACAAGTTAGTTATTAATGATATTCTTTATTTCAATTGAAGCACAGGTGTAGCTAATCGCAATTACTAAATTTACCTAAATAAAAAAGTCAATGTTAAGTGCAAGTTATGTTAAGTTTATTAAACTCATGTTCAGCAGTTCAAATAAAACAAAATGACATCAAATTCATACAAAACATCTGTATATTGCAATGTGCATAATAATACTGTTTCCTTGAAAATAAATCAATAACATTTTTTTCATAACTTCGAAAGCAGACGGAGCCTGAGTTGAGCAACGGTTTTAGAATATTTTTATTTCTATAATCCTTACATAGTTTTATAATAAAAAATCTACGATAAAGTTTTAGAAGAAATAAACCAACCACATAGTTGTGTAAAATATTATATTTAATTTGTTTGGATCAGCTGTCTAAAATTGTGAAATTGTTTGCAATGTGACAGTTCTTCTTTTTTACATTTAAATGTCAACGCAAAATGTAAACATTGTGAGTGTTCTCATTGCAGCCATGAAGACCAATTAATATTTACTTTTTAAATCAGAACTTTTAAAGCAAAAGGGACAAAGCCCACGGACAGTATCGTAGTGTGAACAGTTCTATTACCGTTCCTAGTATGGTAACTACATTTTTGTATAATTTAAACCCAGTCGGTTCAGTAGTTTTTGCACCTATTAGTAATACACAGACAGACACCATTAAGTTTTTATATAATAGAATAGATATAGATTCACAAAGAAATAAGTCTCTATTTAAAATCACCAACCAGTTTCCAAATAATATGTTTACCACATGAAAATGAAGCAAGTGCAAAGATATTCTTGTGGTGTAAGTAAAATGTGTAAACACAACCTACTTATTTATGCTTTTTTCGCCGTGAAAAAATCAATTGTGCAATACACATTCTAAGTTTCACGTGTAATGCTGGTTGGTTCCACGGCCATGTTATACCACAGCACTAATTATTGCAAACAGGTGTTTCTTTGTCAGCTGTTTAGTGAGTTATAGTACAGTGACTACTCCACAATGATGCTTGCTCCGGTGGTTTTCATTTTGACATTTGCCATAGTGACCCATCCCTCGGTAAGTAAAGATTATTTATTTGCTTAACTATGCCAATTCAAAGTCTGCTTTGTATAGCGCAGATGAGCGGTATATGTAGGTTCAATGAATGAGATTATACTTAAATAAGATCAGCTAGTTATTTAGGTAGGACCATCTATTAAAAACCCAATAAGGGGCAGCTAGGCCCAGTTTTGAATCCTCAAAAGCTTTTGACTTTGCTCAGGATCGACCCGACAACCTTCAGGTTAATAGGCGAGCATTAACAATCATTTCCCCAGCCTTACAGGTTTAGGAAGCGGGTGGAATCTACTGTAATGCCCCAGTCTTGAACTATTCTTAGGCTTTAGAATGTTGTGTGGGGAGTTGTGCTGTAAAGTAACTAAAAAATAACTAAACTTAAATGTTACCCTAAAATGACTTAGCTGTTTTAGTAAAAATTATTAGAATGTTACGTTCATCCTGTGCACGTTTTCTTTAGTGCAGCAATAGTCTGTTTATTTCTGAATATTTCTAAAGATAATGTAAATTGTTGATGTTCAAATACATTTTTAGATAATTAATTTCTATATATTGATAGAATACGGTAATGAATGTATTTTGCATTGTTAATGATCACACATTTTAGAGACATTCAGAATATTATATGATCAAAAGTGAATTAACTGAAAACTTATCCACTTAAAAAGAATATCAAGTGATTTTATCTCAGTTTAATCTTTATGAAATAAATAATTCATAAATAAAAAAGGGTATTAGTATGTTTTAGTACAGTAACATGTAAGTACTGTACTAAAACATACAAATGAAATCTCTCTAAATATAATTTTGGCTAAGAATTTTTGGGTTGAAGAGGGGTAGATATACGAGGGTGTTCAATAAAGACCTAAAGTACTCTTTCAATACATTTCATATAAAAGTTTAGACTTTAACACTTGCATCTCCTTCTAAGTAGTCGCCATTCAAAATCACACACTTGTTCCAGCACTTTTGCCACTCTTTGAGTTTGAAGATGTGTTCAAAGCCTTCTTAGACAGAACCTTCAAAATCGCCTCTAAAGTCTAAACATTCCCAGTAGCAGTTGGAAGACGCCTGCCTTTGAGCTCTTTTTGGCCTGAGGGTACAGACAAAAGCCATTTGGAGCCAGATCAGGACTGTAGGGTGGGTGTAGCACAGATTCGATTCCTTTTTTGGCAAGAAACTGAAGCACAAAATTGGTCACATGGGGGCGAGCATTGTCGTGATGCAGATTCAAGCGTCTGACGAGGTCGGGCCGGTTTTTTGGGATGTGGTCTTGGATTAGTTGTTTCAAATGTAAAACTCGCCATTAATAGTCTGACCCTGTGGTACAGTATAGGTGTACACTATACCTTTATAATCAAAGATCGTAATCGCCATTGCTTTTTGGCGTTGGTACAACTCACATGATTCCCGCCCATTTTTAAAGTCTTTATGCAGCCTGAAACATGTTATTTTACTCATTTTATCACTATCAAAATATTTTTAAAGTAGCTGTAAGTATCCATAGCACTTTTCCTTAGTTTTACACAAAGCTTTATTACATATCTTAGCTCACGAAAATCAGCCATTGTAAACTTTAGAGGCAAACATTCGCAACTGTTTATCAATCAGTTGCCATGGCAACAATAAGTTTGCAATAATGTTAACAGCTGATTTGGTTGTTGCTAATACTCAAATGTTTCATAACAACTTGAAAAAATCTAATTATTGTACTTCGGTTGTTTGCATGTACGCTACTGTAAGTCTTTATTGGACACCCCTCGTATTACTAGGAATACAAAAAGTAATCAGATATTATTAACAACACGGTATGACATTTTAGAATAATGATATGAAAGTTGGCATATAAACTCTAAATCTACTAAACTTTAAGGTGGATTGGTTATTCCATCAAAAGTACCTTTGTCCTTTGTATTCAACTATTTTTAGGAAAGGTTCTTATTATATAAGTTATTCTTATGTAGCCTATTTCATTTTAAGGGCTTAATAATTATGCAAGACAAATTAAGAAAAAAAGATAAATTTTAAATTTTAGCAATAACTTGTGTTGAAATAAGATTTATTATATTACAATAACTTGGTTAACGGAAAAATGAGTTAAATGTACAGTATTTTAACCCCTAAAGTTGTGTGTGAGCTTACTGTGTTTAAAAGTTCTTGAACCTTATGTTTAGAAGTCATTGGTGAAGATGTTGTTATGCCCGTTTATAAACGGATATTAGTATTAGGCTTATACTTGAAAAGTAAACATTACACTAATCTTACATAAAGAGATTTGAAAAAAATACTTGTACTCTGACCAAATTAAATCAAATCCAGGATTGTACAAAGGAAACTCCCTTAATTGGTCAGACATTACATTACCTATCCTAATTTCGAATCAGCAAGAGAGTATGTGGAAAAAAACTTGTTTTTTTGTAATTAATTTATGATTTGTCAAGAAATAATATCTTTTAGTAATATTCAAATCCGCCACAGGATGCAGCAACTACGTACAACCTAGCGCTCCTTCAGGAGACTTTGGAAGTCCTTGGAGAAGATGTTGTCATGTTCGTTACCAATAAACTTAGTGAGTATTCATGGAGAAGGGTGTTAAAAACGCAAGCTTTCTATAGCTAAAAGAGATTTATTATTTCACATTTCATTACTTTCCTTTATCTATGAATAATTTTGATAATCATGGCCTCATCTGTACAAGGCCGTGGCGAGCCAAAAGTGGCAACACTGCAGCCCCGGCCTACCAAACCAGCTTTTTACCGCAATGGAGCTTCTGCAGAACGTTTATGTTTTCTGGTTTGTTATTACTGTTATTATCATGGAAATAGGCCGACCGTTGCGACGATGCCACATACCAACCGCGGCCTTGTATCAGAGGAGGCATTGATTTAATCCATTATCACTGCCGTCGTTTTTATTTTTTGAAATAAATTAGTCCTAACATAATAGCTCTTAAGATTACATCAAGAGTTACACGACGACTTGTTTTGTTCAATGCATTTTGTTTAATGAAGCAAAGGTAAAACTTTTAAACTCCTTTCTGACAAATTAAAATGTCTGAGTAAATTTAATGTTCATGTATAAAACATTCAAGTATTATTTTAGTAAAAATAACGTGTTCTATATTTAGTGAAAATGAATGATTTTCCAGTAATCTTTAGTGAAAACTAAGTCAAATTTGTTGGAGATTTCCAGCTCAAGTGATAAAAATTATCCATCATACATATAATGAAAAAAAACAAATATTCATTTTTTATGGTGCTAAAGATACACCCTTGTAATTAAGTAAGTAAATTGCAAAGTTCTAAGCTTTATTGGATGCATATTAATATAGTTTTTACACTTACAGTCCCCGATTAACATTTTACAGACACCCATTGTTTCTTTTATAATAAATTAGAATATTATGCCTTGTGTCTCTCAAACAACAATTTTTTTAGTTTTCAAAATTTCCCTTACGATATATATTTTAATTTGTGCTTTCATCATCGAGGTGTAACAAATAAAATATACTAGTCTAACCACTATCCTGTTCTAAGGAGGGTACAGTTGATATAGACAGGTTATGTTATAATGTTGTGCATTTCATTATATAGATCTCGTTATATGAAAATATAATAGCCTAATCAAGTTGGATTATGTTTAACTTAATGCTATTGCTAATTTAGATGGTGCTACAAACAAGGAAGAAGAGAATGACGACGCCCTGTATGAGACGGCGGAGGAGCAGCCGGGGGGTATAGATGATGACGAAGACGACGACGAAGATGATGGACAAGACGAACCACCAGTAGAACAGGAGGCGAAAGAACCCAAGAAACATGAGTCAGAGAGTGAAGAAAATGAGACAGAAAGTGACGAGAGCGAAGAGGAAAGTAGAGAAGAGAAAACTAAGGATAAACATGGTAAAAATCATGTAGAGACAGAGGAAAATGAACGGGAGGATAACGATATAGAAGAGAAAATAAATCCAGAAGAAAAGGATGATAATTTTGAGGAAAATGAAACAGATACCAAAGATAATGAAACAGACGTCGATGAGAGTGAAAAGAAAAGCCAAACTGAAAGAGAGGAGGAAGATGAAGTTACAAACGATAATGCTTCTGTAACTTCCACAGATGAAGAAAATGAAGAAGATGTTACACTTGAAAATATCACAACTGACGAGACTAAATCAAACAAAGAAGTCGGGAAGGACGCATTTAAATCCGATGTTGCAGAAAACGACAAGAATATATCTAAACCAGAACCGGAAGAAGATGTCAAGAACTCAGTTAAATCCGGAGCAGGAGAAGATGATAAGAGCCCAATAAAATATGAAGTGGCAGAAGATATCAAGAGCTCAACTAAACCCGAAGCGGTAGATGATGATAAGAGCTCAATTAAATCTGAAGTGGCAGAAGATATTAAGAGTTCAGTTAAATCCGAAGTGGTAGATGATGATAAGAGCTCAATTAAATCTGAAGTGGCAGAAGATATCAAGAGCTCAGTTAAATCTGAAGTGGTAGATGATGATAAGAGCTCAATTAAGTCTGAAGTGGCAGAAGATATCAAGGGCTCACTTAAATCCAAAGTGGTAGATGACAACCACACTGATAAATCAGAAGTGGTTGGAGATGGTATGGATGATAAAAATAAAAATAATGATAGTGAGCTAGGTGGTAACCAAAATAGGAAAGATATAGCTAAATCTGATGATGAAACAGAAGCGAAAGAAAAGAAAACGCTTGAGAAAGCTGACAGTAAGACTGTAGATAATACTGCAACGGATGAAAACCAATCAGATTCCAAAAAGCCTAGAAGAGTAAAAAAGATTGCTTTGAATTCCAGGAAAGCAAGAAAGGTTTCAAAGAAAAAAACAAAACACAGTGCTAAAAGAAAGAAACATGTTGAAGAAATCGAGGAAGAATACGAACATGAAGTCAACAACGAGGAGCCTGAGGTAAATGAAGAAGACGAACCAGACATGGCGGAAACTCTAGCATCCGTGGCCGTTTCTATGGCAGCTGACAAGTTGAAAGAACAACTGGGGAAATTGAGTATTCAGCTACGGTAGAGAATATTGTGGCATGTTTTTAAAATAAAAAGATATAAAAATATATAACGTTTTGATATTCATGGTGTACCACATACCTTTGTCGTTTGTAATATCTAAATGATCATCCCCTTTTTCAAAATGTTTTAAAAGGTAGGTAGTGGAGGAAAATATTTGATTATTATTGGAGTTGTATGACATCTTTCTAAAAATAGAAACACATAACTCAATGGAAGCATTATCCGAGTTTTAGCGTTTCGCTTACTACCTTCTCCTGAAACATACAGCAAAACCTAATGAATAAAGTCAATGCACATATCGATAAGTTGAACACATTTTACAGTAGTATAATTCGTTTATTTAACAAGTCATAATCAAAATTTGGCTTTCCTATTTTTAACGCATTTAAAATGAACATGAAAGTATATATATATTTAAATTAATAAGAATCTATAGACATCTTTTAAATGTGCATTCACAATTATTCAGATTGTTGTTATGAGGGACTGTTCAAAATTAAATAAGTGCAAAATTTGTTTTTTCAAGTGAATTTCTTGAGGCAGGTAATATTCATTTTTTGAGGATTTGTACTCCTGCAGTATCTCTTTTTAGCGAATTTCCCTATAGGGAAGTAGCTATTACCGTAGGTGGCACGGTAAGACCTAGACCCGGGACCGATTTTCTTTTTCATTTTGATGTCCCCAGAGGCCAAAAACACCATTCGTTCAAATTTTTATATATGTATTTTTATATACGTCCGTGAACGCGATAACTTGAGTAATTTTTGTCCGATTTTGATGAAATTTGGTTTAAAGGTGTAAAGCGGGATAAACTTGAATGAGTTCGCGAACCAGCACGATCGGACCATGGGAACGGGGCTTTACGGGGGGTTTTATGGGGTAAAAATTGGTTTTTCTCACTTTTGACCCTCAAAACACAAAATTTCCCGATTTCTCTTTAGACCTTTTTAAAGAGCTTAAAAAAACAAATAATTTAGTATATAAAAGCATTTTTGTTCAATTATTAGTAACGGAGAAAATTAAAAAAATTGTAAATTTAAAATTCCCATGTTATTCTTATGGAGAATATTGTCAAATGTTGTAGTTTGCTTGTTTATGGATATATTTTGATCAAACTTGGCAAATTTATTTATTTTGTACTAAGCTATCAATATTTTACTCAAAAACACACTTTATTAGTTTCCTTGTAGCAGCAAACCTAGGTACTCGTTTAACCTAATGTTATTAAAATATATTTAACTGAAAATCAATTCAGTCAAATGGAAATTCGCTTAGTCGGCAGGTTTGCTGCGGCGGGGGTATTTAATGTTTTCGTCATCATGATGTCTGACCACGAATATTGAAGACAATAATCTATCGCATTGAGTCTTTAAAAAAGGATTTATACTTAAATAATTTTGAAATCTAAATGTTAAATACTATAGATAAAAGTATTAAAGGTAAAATGTGAAAAGGGCTGAAACATAAACAACGACCGAAGCGTTGAAAAATTATCTCATCTTACGTAAACCATATGTAGCCTACTGGCCTAAAATACGTACTTTGTATGGTTGCTATTCCGATGAAAAGTATTCAAAGTATGATATGTTATGTGTCACGTAAACTAATTTTACATATAATATTGATCCGCCCATTAAACTATGCTGGAATTTTCAACAATTAATTAATAACCTCTCTGAAACCCCAGGTACGTCGATACGTGCTAACATAAATGCAAAAATGTCATGATCTGATAGAGAAGACTAAAAGGAAACAACCTTGCAAACCTATGAACAGTTACATTTCTTAATCCTTACTTAGCTTCTAATCTTCTGAGTCCAAATTGATTGTGGTACGGATTAGTTGATTGTAAGTTGACGTAATGATGACTTAATAATTAAGTCATCATTACGTCAAATTACAATTATTATTATTAATATTATTAGAACAAAATAATATCCAATCAGTAGGATTGGAGTATGTGCAAAACTATTTAAATCTTGCAATCAATTATTTATTTGACAATTAATTCTATTAAATTAATTGCGAAAAAAACCAAAGCAATAGTTTTTAAGAACCCAAGAATAATTGTAAGCAGACACTTATCTATTAAGCTGTATTGTCATTCTAAAGATTGTGTAGAGTTGAAAATTCTAAATCAAGCTGTAACGTTCGATGACAAGATCTCAAGCATTTAGGCATTTTTCCTCGATTCAGACATAAAATTGGACACTTATGTTACAAAAATATCTAACTTGTTAAGAGTAATATTATTTAAATGCTATAGATTAAGTATGTTTTACCTTTCAGTTTCAAGAGAATGGTTTATTTTTCACTAGTACAAAGTATTGTTAACTATAGGATCTCTACTAATTTGAAATAATAACTTCGCCAATATTTCTGAATTTTTAATTTTTATGAGGCCTTTCGCCAGCTATGCTGGCATCATCAGACACATCACAAAACTGAAGGTTATGTTTATGTTTACAATTATAAATTTTAAAGAATGTAACATATGGGTAGTTAAAAATAAAAACTATTCTGTTAAGTACATTTAGCTAAAGTTACAAAAATAAATCATATATGTATAAAAATGAAATATCAAGTACCTAGAATTAACTTATAACTTTGTAAATTTAGAATTTAGTAATGTAACATTTTGAATTGGACCGTTATCATTATTTACCAAATTGTCCATTTTATTTATAAATAATGATTCCCATGCATTTAGTTCATTTGATTTTGTTATATCTTTTAGTAATTTAGTATTATTGATTGATATTGTATGGTCCGTTTCTAAGCAATGTTTTGCTATTGCTGATTTTTCAGGTCTGTTGTGTGTTATGTGAGAAGTGTGTTCTTTGAATCTAGTTTTAATATTTCTTTTTGTTTGTCCAACATACTTCATCTCACAACTGTCACACTGAATTTGATAAATGCCAGATTTTGATGTACTTTCTAATTTACTTTTTGGATTTCCAAGAATGTTTTTAATTTTGTTTTTCGCTTTAAATGAAAACATTAATTCAGCATTTTTCTGAAACGTTTTCTTGACGTCTTTATATCGCTTAGTATAGGTAGCGCTTACCCATTTCTTCTTTACTTTGATTGGTTCCAGTTTAGTTCTTTTCTTTTTCTCATTTCTTTTTAAAGCTTTTGTCAACATATTGTCTACAATTTTTGTTTCGTATCCATTATACTTAGCCACGTCTTTTATGTAGTTAAGCTCTTTATTATAATTTTCTTGGGACAGTGGAGTATTTAAGAGGCGATATATCATTGAATTAAACGCTGATCTTTTTTGTTCTGGAGGGTGATGAGAATCTTGAGTGATAAACCTATTGGTGTGGGTTGGTTTCCTGTAAATATAAACTCAAGCTTTTCATTATTCCGTAGGATTAGTACATCCAGAAATGAGATCTTCTTATCATTTTCAACCTCATATGTGAACTTTATTGATGGATATATGGAGTTTAATTTGTTGACAAAGTCATTAAGGTTTTCTTTCCGATCAAAAACTGCAAATATGTCGTCTACGTACCTTAACCATGTTCTTGGAAAATATGTCATTTCTTCTTTTGCTTTTGTTTCAAAGTGGCTCATAAATATATTTGCTATAAAATATGATAGTGGATTTCCCATAGCCGTTCCTTCAGTTTGGGTATAAAAATTATTATTATATTCAAATGTGTTTTGGGACATACAGAGATTTGTCAAAATTACATATTCATTAATTATTTCTGTTGGTAGTTTTAATGAAATGAGCCATTTTCTTAATAAGTATCTCGTTATTGGTATCGGTACACTTGGATACAGGGATACAACATCAAAGGAGACTAAATATTCATCTTCTTGTAGCTTCAAATCTTTAATTTGATCTATTAACTGGTATCTGTTTTTTATAGCAAATGACGGGAATGATTCAAATTTTTGTAGCTTTTCTACTAACCATTTGGAGAGCAGATAACTCGGAGAATTAATACATGAAACAATTGGTCTCATCCCGTATCCTGGTTTGTGAACTTTGGGTAAACAATATAGACGAGGTAAAATTGGATTTGAAACATGTAGTTTTCTGTATGTGTCGTTACTTATTAAGATTTTACACTGTTTAAGAGTTGACGTTACAGCGGTTGAAAACTTTTGAATAATAAATAATATAGTTTTATAATATAGGATCTCTATTTACTATTTGTCACCTAAATACATCAAAGTAAAGCTTAGACATGTGTTACAGAGGATTGTTAGTTTTGTTTAGTGATGTCTTTTGATGCATTAGCTAAATATACTGACCTAGGGAGACACTATTTCAACGATGATTTTAGAAGAATACATTATGTAGAATATAATCTTAGGCATAGACAATTTAGATCCGAAAGGCATTTCAATAACTATGGAACATTAACTTTGGAACATAGAATCCCAACTTTGTTAAATACACTACCAATAGATTTAAGATCAATAGCAAGTAAGAACGCAGTTAAAGTTAAACTAAAGAATTATTTTATAGAAAATCAATAGCCACTACCAATGGTTACCACATTGTTATCAGTTAGTTAGTATACTTGCATTAGTTAGTCACAATGAACAACCAAAATGTTAGCATCACATAAGGTAAAACGAGAACATTTAAACTGGAGGGACTATAGGCTAATTTTATAGGACTTGGTAGGCTATTTATTTATTTAAATTTTATCAAGATTTTTATGTCTAATTTAGTCATTAACCAAGCATGAGTTGAGGAGTGAAGATTTGAGCTACAAAACATCACATATTATCTCCATCTATTTTTATCTGGACTGGACTGGATCATTGTTTTTGCTTTTTTCCCCCAAAGTGGAGAGACAGGCTAGGAGAAATATTTGTAGTTTTTATTCATAAAAGATGCATTTTCATACCTAAGGGTTGTTAAAAATCTGACCTTTTTAAGTGTTGTTCAAAGAACTTTTTTAAAAGGTCTTTTGGTAGTATAAAATGCTAATTACTCGTTGTTTTATGTGTATTCTTAATCATATATTTTGCATGAATTCCAACCCAATGTAATAAACTTATACATAATATGGAATGGTGAAACTGGGTGACAGAGGCATTGACGGCCCCGGGTTTTAACACGGGGCTACCAGCCCAGCCCATAACTAACTATTTCCACAATACTATCATGATACACACACATATATAAAAAAACATACTAGCTCATAGTCAAATATAATGAATACTGTTCCAATCTCTACTGGTTGTGAGTCGGTGGCTCAGTCGGTAGCGTCGCAGACTTTGGGCCCAAGGCAGTAGTGTCGTGGGTTCGGATCCTGGTCACTGCCACTAACTTTTATCAGTACAGTTCACCTTTGTACTGTACCGGCTCACCCCTTGCTTTGCTGGATACGTTCCACGCACAGATCTGTAGTCTATGTGAACGGGCAAATGCAAGGTTAAAAAAGGCCGCAAAAAAAAAAAAGAAAAAAAAATGTTCTCAATATAGTTGTTTTAAATTGAAAACAAAACAAATGGATTTATATTATGCACCTGTAAAAGATATTATAATAAAGTAATCGATATGCGTTTTCCTCTCAAATAGCTTGCAGCTAGAGAGGTATACAAGCCGCTGCAGCGGTTAGTATTATTATTATTATTATTACTATTATTATTAACTCATAATTATTATGAGGCTCCCAAACGATTTTATTTATTTATGTTGTGTATGGAATTGTACCACTTTTTATTATAGTTTATTGAACTTAGAAATATATATATTTTCATAATTGGGAGTAAGAGAAATACAAAACATCAAATAAAAACAAACAAAACCCCTTTTAATCTTCATGTGCAGGGCACATCATTAATATGACAACACTTTAGATAGCATATGGTGCCAGTATGGATCTTAAAAAGACAGGAGCCTTCTGAGCTGCATCTGAAGACAGTTGAGTTGGTGTGGTCGGGATTGGTTGAAGGCCTCCTCTTTGCCCGTTGAGATTCATTATTATGTTTTTGATAAACCACGGAAGTTCCTGAGGACTATCATTTGGCTGAGAATCCTTCTGGAAGTGCAAAGGTAACGGTATGTGTTTTGACTCACTTCCGGGGAAATCCATGTGTCTTGGTTCATCAGAATCAGATGCCTCAGAAAGATCATCAAAATGCTTTATTTTAAAGCCTGAATTTTCATCTGGAAAATGTAATGGAGGAATCTCAGAGGAAATTCCTTGAGCCGAAGGTTCATGCCTTACTCTTAAGATGACCATCCTCGGTGCAGATGATGAATCATCTGATGGATGATATGATGGGAGCATTTGTCTTTCTTTCAAAGCATTAGCTAATGCTTTTTGTTTAATAATGCTGTTGAGAAGCTTGAACAAAATAAGTTCTTTCGGTAATCCTTCGGGATGTACCATTATAGAAGGGGCCTCATTTTCCATACCCTGCCCGCTGGAGAGTGAAAAGTAGGGTTGCTTCTTCTCATTCTCATCACCGTTTGGTATAATTCTGATGACGGAGGGAACATGAGTTTCGGCTGTACTTTCACTACTATCATTAGCATCCATACAACCTCCACCAGATTCTTCACTAGCCGATTGTACATTCTCATTTTGAGATGGCACGTACTCATTTTGGCCAACAGTTTTCGGTGAATTGATAATTACGGAATTCTTGATCATTTTTGAAAATATTTCTACCAAAGGAGGGGGTTGTCTAAATTGGAATGATTGCATTGGCACAGCACTTGCTGCAGAGGGTGATGGAATGTCTTCCCCAACATTTCCCTCATCCGGTTTAGATCTTTTAATCGTAATGGTAATGCGAGCATGCAGTTTTGGGTGCACGTTTTCGGTTTGCTCACTTTCATCTCTCAAGTTACCAATTCGTGATGATTGTAAAGTGTTTTGTTGTTCATTTTGAACCTGGTTGGTTGGTTCCTCTTCTTGGCAAGCCATATCGTTACGAACTTGCTGGGACTCAGGTTCGGTTTTGATTTCGGGTGTTTGCTGTTCACTTCGCATCTCGTCACATCCACCATCGCAGTCACAGGGCTCCATATCATTAGTCACTTCACGTTGAATAGTATTTTCTTCTTCTTTCCTTTCTTGAGCTACTGGTTCCTCAGCTTGTGGCTTACCATACATTCCAAGTGCTGTTTTTAACTTCTGTGTATGCGCTTTCTTAGCAAGTTTCAAGAGGATAAGTTTTTGTAGTATCTGCCTCTTCTCTAGTTCCTCAGGATCTCGAGTGTTATCGTTTGCTTCCTCTTTTATCCTTTCACTGAGTTTCCTAATCAGTGGCGAAAGAGAAGATTCCTGACTTGTAGGCAAGTGATTCACTGCGTTTTCAACCGCGTTGTCCAGTTGGGGGAAGTTAAACCGTTTAGTTCCTGTTGCTTGTTCATTGGTTGTTTCATCATTTGTTTGTGATTGATACGAGTCTGGCATTTTTACTATTTCGTTGGTGTCTACGTTCCCGCTCCCACTCATGGAGTTTGACTCTGAGTATTTGGGTTGTCGAGTGGAGTTGTCGTCGAAGGTTTCCATTGATTCCTTGGTTGGTGGCCGAGGAAATTGCATCTCTTCAATGTCATTAGGGTCCACACTTCTTGATTGCATCGCCCCATGGTAGCCCGTCGGTGAAGCATTCGTCTGGATCAGCATGTACTGTCTACTAGAATCACCTGTAACAATAACAGTTTAATTTTAGTGAAGCTATTTGCAGTGTTAAACAGGAATATATTTTGTGTTCACATTTGCAAGAATGTATTCTTCCGAATCCCTAGAACTAAAGCATCCTAGTTTGTTTATGCACTTGAAATTAGCTCAATATGTTTTGCAGAAATTTGTTTTTAATTTTCTCAAGCTAATTTATAGTAGATTATGTGTTGCTTCGGCAAATACAACTGCCAGTTATATGAGTGTCTTCAATTATAAATTCAATTTGTAATACATCTTTGTCCAACAAAACATTGGATTCACACACCAAAGGAATGAAAAGCAGATGAATCATTCAATACACGATTAAGTAGCTGAAATCAAATATTAGTTAGTCTAAGCACTCCGATATTTTTATGGTATTTTTTATCTAAAACCTAAAAGCATTTTATCAAGCTGACCGACGACCTAATTAAAAAAATAGCTTGAATCAATAGCAGTCTAATAATGAAACTACTGTTCATTATTAGACACTACTGTACTGTGTTGTTCAAATAAGTTTTAAAATATGAAATCCTAGTAACTTAAAAATACTTTAAATATAAAAATAGTTTTTACCTTCACTATTGTTATCAAATGAGATCACAGACTCATGAGGATTGGAGTAGGCAGTAGCCACCAGCTGGGAACAAAATAAAAACTTATAAAAAGTCAATAATGATTTTTTAAAGTGGAATGTGGAATATGATTTAGTGGGATGGTTTCGGCCATGTTAATATTTTTTAATTTTTCCTTGTTATCCACATTATTTCAGGCTTGGTCTAGATGGGATTATCACTAAGTTACAATACAATGGTGATTGGTAAGATTTTAACTTCGTAGAACGAATCCCACACTCTAGCACTAAACTGACCAGCTCACTCCCCCACGTTAATAGTAGCATTGACTTTATATCTACACGTGTAAATATAAAGTCAATGATAGTAGTCAATGCTAATTGTTTAGTCAGTTTTAAGCAAGGGATGGGACACTCTGAAAGATTGTGCTGTCGACACTGTTTATGCCTTAAATACCATTATCAATTAATTACCAATCATTGAGATGGGGACGCCACTTAGGTATGTTTTTAACAAAAAAATTAAGGATGAGTGTAGATTGGAGTGAGATGATCTGTGTAGCTTTATAACTGACTAAGATCAAGCGTTTCATCAGTTAGGATAATTTATTTAAGGCTCAATGATCAGGAACAGCTTGGTTAAGTTTCGAAGTATACCTCATGAGACATCAGTTGCAATAAGAAATAAACCAATGTATTCAATTAATAAAATAAAATAAAATCTAAAAATCATTAACCTGTTTCAAGTCATAAATTGTTATACACAATGAGTATGACTCATCATTAAGACGAGCCAGTATGACTCAATGGTATTGCACAACACTATTTAGTCCCTCCATCAATTATTCTCAAAACGCCTCGACTACTCTTTGACACAACTCTGCACGGAAACCAACTTACCACAAAAGATAGGTTAATTTACCTTGTACAGGGGCCGTGAAAATAATACTATACGTCTGTAAAGCCCATTTACAATACAAAAGATAGTGCAGGTTCTACGTTTCAAACAAAATATGGTGACCGTAATTGTTAGCATATAGTTGACTTTTATCATAATCATTTAATTTTTAAACATAATGTTTTACTATGACAAACCTCCTCCGTTTCTACTTAAAATGAAAAACAGCCAGGTAGAAGTTTTCACCTAAGCACTAGTTCTTGGTAAACAAATCCGTTTAGTGTCTTATTTATACCTTTTTGTCCAGTTTCTAAAACGATCATATGAAAGATATAAATTTAACTTTATCTTACATGAATTTTATTTTGAAACCATTGCTTCAATATAATTTTAGACTGTCTGACAATTAATGATAACGGAATATAGCCTTTAGCTACACGACACACGACATAGGCAATACAAAGGGAAAGTTTTGTGTCATTTCTAGATATGAAAAAATATAACTTCTTGATCAGCAACGTACGTGTTTTTAAATTACCTGAAAATACAGATATTCGCCAAATAACACTTGGCATTAATAAATTTACACTTATACTGTTTACTCACAAGACGTTAAACAGATGGTAATTGGACATTCAATATTGGCGTCATTCACTTATTGGTTCTGATGATGGTTGGAGTGTCCAGTCGAAATCGATCACCACTTACCATATTTTATGTGTATTTACCGTCTTGTTAGTATACGATATAAGTGTAAATCCTTATTACAAATATTATTTCACCTCTTTATGTACTTTCGGATGGAAAATATATGTGTTATCCAGATTTTACAGGAAAGGCAATCTTATCCATTAAAAAAATCATAAGGACACAATTGTTTAAAAATCAAAGCTGAAAACTAGAAACCAAATATGAACAATCTTCAAAGTCATTTATCCAAATATAAGTTTTGTTTTAGCAGTAATTTGGAATGTACGCATGGAGTAACCAAGGCGGAGTATGTTTTATCTCTATGGTACTTGCAACACCACAAAAATTTTCCTGGGCCAAATTGTAAATTAAATTTACAATCAGCGATATGAAAAAAAAAAACACTACGGTCCTGAAACTACAAACTAATATCAATAATAAATCAGCTGATCACCCATTGTAACTGTAATGGAAATTACAAGTTAAAAGTTGCAGCTTGTGACTTAACTTAATTTTTTCCGTCATGTGTTTATGAAAACATACGTTTCACCCGTTGTTGGGCTTGTTAAATACCCATTATTCATTATTACTCTTCTCCTTTGTTCCATTATTTAGAGATGTAGAAGTTTATCTTACATTCTTTATTCTTGAATGTACTGAATTCAATCTACTCTACCGACAATAAGTTCTAACAAAATCCGCTAGGTCGCATTGCTGAACAAAGTGCAGTTAGAGTACAGTATGAATAAGCGGGTTATTCAGCAAGTTTATATTTGACACTTTGAGCAGTGTCAGTATGTTTAAATCTATAAATACAAACTTTTCCTTTGATGTTGATATGTATATGTATTATATGTTTTGTTATTTAAATCCAATTTTCCAACTATTTTACCGTGAAACAATCTACTCTGTTGTATGATCTATGATTTAATTTTTCGAAATCAATGCCAGGTTACATGTAATATCATATAGGATAAAATACGTCATATAAGTTCTAAGTTTACAATATACAAAAATTATATATAATTTTTGTACGTTCTGATGATTTAGCATTTTTTGAAAGTTATTGATTGACGATAATGGTATATGGTCGTAATAAGTGAATTGACGCATACACAGCAAACAATACGTACATTCATTACTTAACGTTGACATCCTACCGTGCGGGATCTAATTTATTTCGCAATATAATTATAAGTAGGGCTACAGTAATAAGTTAATCCATTCTGTTTTGGGCTAGAGATAAAAAAGATGGACATGTGGCAAAGGTCAAATGTATCCGGCCCAAAAAATATGTACTATATAGTATTAACTTTGCGAACATGGGATTCACGGCTAAATATTAGTTATATATAGTATACTTATAACATAATCTAAAGTCATTGTTATAATACAATTTGTTTAAATTAAAATTGCAATAGAATATATTAAAAAATACTTACTTGAAGTATTAGAAGTACATTTGAAAACGCGACCATTTTGGTCCCCATCTTGCAGCTGTATGGATATATTGCTCATACAACATATGTTGCTAGTTAATTGATGTATACAGGTGTTTTATGATCAAGGTTGAGGTGAAACTTTGCGGTTTAGCGAGTTCTAGTTCAAAATATTCAATCTTATAACTTCTGTTTGTAAGTAAAACTGTGAGACTAAATCACAAAAGAAATAAGGGAAATGGTTTTAGATTTTAGGTATTAATTGGTTAAAAGTTCTGAATTTACAGGAATAACTTTTTTCAAACATTAAAATGTATAGTTGATAAAACTTCAAATGTAACACTTAGTTAATGTAACATTTTATAAAAAAACTGTCCTGATTTCGTACAAAGACTATTTTCAAAATGAATATCAAATCAAAATACAATCCTAACATTTATATAAAAAAATTAAATAATTTATTTATATTATAAAAATGATTTGTGGTGAGTAAGGTTTGTGATTCGTTTCGCGGATATTGATGTAAATCTAGGTAACAATGCAAGTGGAACTGATTGCAACGAACCACAATGTTGGGTTGAGGTCAGAACTAGGTTTGGGTTCATACACATGTGATTGTAACAGCCGAACCTTAACTTTCCTAACCATATCCCCTTGTCAAAACCGTCTGATTCCTCAAAAGCTTCCAGCATTGTATTATAACGAATGCCAAAACATTTACGAAATTATATTATTTCGTTTCGAATAACCGGTTTTGGTTTAATTAAAATCACGTTTTATTCAAATAACACCATACTTATACGCTATAACAATGATGACACAACATCTTGTAATATTAGATATTTTGATCATCAATATCAATCTTCTTCGTAGTATTTAATCTGAAAAAAGTGAAAGGGTAAATTTTGCAATAGAAAAAACATTCTCAATAACTATACTAGTTTTGCTAATATTTCAAAATGTATCCCTTTACAGCCGTTGATACTCACAATGAAATACTGTGTCTGGAAAATTAACTCAAGACTCTCCCTTCAAAGTTTGCAGTTAGCTTTTAATATAAACTTTATATAAATTAATATAACGGTTTTATGTGCAGTAAAAGTATTAACTTTTTTTTAAGGAGACTCAATATCTTTAAAGCTATTTTTTATTTTTCGTATTTTAGGGGGAAATCGACACATAAACAAACAAACAAACAAAAAACCAATAATGGTCTATAGTCTCTGGTTATACACATTTCTTACCACGTGTGATCTCTTTTCTTTCAAAATACTTAAAATGATTTTAAAAGTATAGTTGGTATTGTGTTTTGTTATTAGATAATCCGAAAAGTAGTGGATTAAGGATTATTAGCTTTTTACTGGTGTTCAACCATATGGATACTCCAGAACAATGTGAGACATGGACCAAAGTACATCTGAGTCAAATTAGAACCTGCTAATGAAGGATCGACCAACCTTCAGATTCGACATGTAACCTTTCGGTAGACTGGAAATTTGTATCCCAATAGAACCGTGCGTAGTTTGTTCTTTTTACACGAAGTTTTCCTACTTTAATTTTTATACAACGTTCCATACAAAGTTCTTTTAGACAAGTGTTTTCGTGCGTTTAATATTGGATATAACATAATATTTAATCCTGACTAAATAAATATGTCCTTTGTCACTACAGCGAACAAAAGAAATATTTTCGAAACAGAGTTTTATATCCTCAAATTTCGTCCCACAATCACCCCATTTGAGAAATACATTTATTAGGGAGCGTTTTAGTAAATAAAATTATAATTCAGAACATAAGATAAGAATGTATTTAATAAACATCCATCGTGATGTGTTCTATCTTGTATTCTATGTAAGAATGTATGTATGTATGTAATTGTGTCGACTTTATATGGATAGCTTATATGCCCAGAAAAGCTATTAACATATTCGCAGCTTTCAACAATTATTTGCTAGGAAAGTACAACGCATTTCTGTTACGGATCTTGTAAATAAAATCAATTATCTCCGGAAGAGTCCATTAGAAAAGAAACTCAATGAGGCATGCAATTAAAACTGTCACAGTCAGAGCTCTCAGATTTAGTATTCTTGTTCGTTCTCTCCAAAGTTATAATTATAAGTAAGTTGTGCGACATGTTATTGTAACAAGAGATATAACTAATCAGAGCTTAAATGAAGTCTGCTCCAACTCTATGAACTTTATGTAAACTGAACTTTCCATGTTTAACATAATGTCTAATACAAGTTATTAGTTGCAATGCTATTTTTTTATTTTATAAATATAAAAAAACTTATTTAACAAGTAAGTGGAACCTATGAAAATAGATATTAAAGTTATTATATCCCTTTTCCTTATATCGCGTTCTCAGTAAAGTAATCCAACCACACACATTTAGATGAAAACATCTATCAAAGTAAGATTTAAATTTTTTTTAAATTAGTGGCTACAAACATTTTACTTTTTATACACTAAATACACCATCAATTTTAAGTTTTTATAAAACTAAATGTTAAAACAGTGCTTTCAATCAAAATCACATGTTTACGATGGAGTTTTTATTAATGCGTCCTTCTCAGATCCAAACGTTGTACTATAAGAACAGTTAGTTAAGTAAATATTTTCGCAATTTTGACCTGAAACACAATCTATTATTATTAAAACCATTTTTACTAGGTAAAACCATCATAGGTTCTTCAAAATATCGAAAATCGTTGACAGAATATATTTAAAACCACCCTTTTTTTAGATTTTTGCGAATTTTTATTTTAGCATTCTGTGAGTTTGTTTTAATCTCAGATACTTTGCCATAAGCTTAGGCTATATTTGAGAAATTTATACTTGACATTGCCAACTATATCATAATTGAATTATAGACAATAGGACATAACAATTATTATCAATCAATCAATTATCAATATATACGTTTGAATCATGACTTAGCTAATACAATATATATTGTCAATTTTAGCTCAATAAAATGACTTGATTTGACCAATTATTTAAGATGGGGACACCACTATGTACGAATTTTAACCCAAATATGAGTGAAGGATGACTGTAGGATGAGCGGCGTGATCTTGTAGTCTTGTTAGTTACTAAGGCCGACATATTCCTTAGACACAGCTGTTAATTAATAGCCCATACAGCTAATGGCAACTAAGGGACCTACAGTTTATAGTGGAATCCGAACCTCATTTTTGCCTTGGTATTAACGAATTGGTCTAATTATCAGGATAGTACTGCGGATAGTAGTAGTACTCACTAACAAAAATAAGAATAACGAATAATTGCAATATCATTTAAAACATGAACACAATTTGTTTGACTTGCTTACTATAATCTACTATCTATTACTATAATCTGCGATTCAAACAAACGTATATCAGAATAATCAGTTGACTGGGACAGGTGGCGTCCTGTAATCCAGCTACTAGGAGGTCACGAATTGTGGATATTTATAGGCATGCACTGTAGATGCGATACTCCCTGGTGTAGATTAACGTCCGCACGAGTGAGTACTACGACTATCCACAGTACTTTCCTGATAAGTAGACCAATTCGTAATATACCAAGGCAAAAATGTGGTTCGGATTCCACAATAAACTGTAGGTCCCTTAGTTGCCATTAGCTGTATGGGCTATTAATTAACAGCTGTGTCTAAGGAACGTCGGCCTTAGTCACTAACAAGACTACAAGATCGCGCCACTCATCCTACACTCATATCCATTCATACTTGGCTTAAAATACCTCCTTTGTATGGTCGCCATTTAATAATAAAGTATTAAAGTATTAAATAACCCTGCAATTTAATTATTTACGAATAAAAAACTGACAAACTAACAATTATAAACTTAATAATTAATATGATTCAAACAAAAATATTAAATATAGCAGCATAATCAGTTGAATAGAACACTGAAATATAATTGTTTTACTAGAAAAAAAAATAACAAACTAAGAACTAGAAACTTAATAATTCAAACTTGTATTGAATAAAAATACAAATGTTTATTAGAGCTTATTCGTCACTAAAGCTGTGGTTTCAAACAACTTTTTCGATACCAACTAATAAAGAGACAGAAAAATAATACATCTGTGATCCTTAAACGTAGGAAATGTTTGTAAAATTTTAATTAATTAACTGTTATACAATCGAAAGCCATAGCATTGTCTAGTCAGACAAAAACAATGGCAGCTGTTTGAGTGAAAGTTTTCCAATTAAACTTGTTAATTATTTTACAATCCAATCTTTGCACAAAGTGGTCAGATGCTCTACAAAATCAATATTTACGATAGGTAAAAGAATTGGATGGGTTTTATAGCACGTTAATTCCCTTTAACGGTTTATCTTATCTTTTTAGTAAAAGTATTTCACGAGCTAAGCTTGTTTGTAGCTTGATGTTGAAAAAGGGTTTGTTTATATTCACCAAACGCTGTTTATTGTTTATCTTGGAATCTCCTAAACAAAAAACCCACAAAACACCTTAGAAATCCTAAGGTTTTGGATCGCTTTCCCAAAAGTGTTTGAATTGACTTTGTTATAGAATTGCCGCTGGTGTAGGCAAAAGAAAAAAATCCAACCAGGCCTAAATAGTCACAATTTTGTAACTGAACAATGGAAAAGTTGTTGTCATTTTCGGACTTTTTAAAAATAAATTTCAAGAGTCAATTTAATATCAATATTGTAGGTATCCATATGGTGTTTTGGGGAATAGGCCTATTGTTGACATTTTCCATTACTATTAGTGAAAACCAAGCTTTCACGACGAAATGGGATCTGAGAATTTGATCTAGCTCATCAGGTGAGAGAATAACTATATAGTCAATGCTAAAACATAACAAGATTAGTAAGCCAGCTTAGCTAACACCTAAAACTACATAGCATAGCTATAAAAAAATTATAGAAGTCAGAACAACATGCAAAAAAACAAAATTAAACCTGAAACAATGCGATTGGTTAGCACAAAGGGGGAAACGAGCAAAATGGGCTCATATTTACAAGATAGTGGCACTAGCGAGACTGTTCATAAGGTTTCTCAGTAATTCAACAATAACTTAGTAGTTTAATAGTGCCAATGACACCTTTTATGTTCTCGCTCTATACAT